AAGATTTCCAGCTGTTGTCTTTCCTATGATGGTGAGAACCAGGTAGCTGGCGCTCTCTGGGATTGCTGAGTTGGCGTCTGACTTTGGAGGCCATGTGTCCTATGATGACACTGGGAAGCAATCTTGGCACTAGACTCTCCCTAGGTAGGTGGGCAGACTCTTTGGTGCCTCCTGCATCTGCCTGGCCTAGCCTGATACTGGCATCCTCCTCCTTTGAGGAATCTGACAGATAGCTTTTCCCCTCCCTACATTCCCATTGCACTTCCAGCTGCACCACTTGCCATGGTCTGTCTTGTATTAGCGTTTGTAAGGGACGTGTCTGCCTTCCCTTGTTTAGGGGTGGGCCCCCTCCCTGCCAGAGCTTAGCCTCCAGTAAGTATTATACTTAATAATTGTTGAAGGGACTATATCCTGCTAGTGAGGGTACAGTAGGATGCTCCCTTTCCTTGTGTGCTCCTGCCTGGTCCTTTCTCGTGTATGTAGCTTTGGAAAATGTTTTATGAAATGTGATGTCTAGCATGTTGCTCAAAACTTGTAGCCTCTACCCATTACCCAGTTCCAAAGCTGCTTCCATAGTTTTAGGCATTTGGTACAGCAGCTCCCCACTTCTTGCTACCAGTGTCTGTGCTTAGTCTACCCAGACTGCTCTATCACAATACCATGGAATGGCTGGCTTCAACAGCAGATGTTTACTGCTCACAGTTCTGGAGGCTGGGAAGTCCAGGATCAAGGTGCCAGCAGGTTCAGTGTCTGGCGAAGATTCTCCTCCTGGCTTTTGGATGGCTGCCTTCTCACTGTGAGCTCACATGGTGTGTCCTTGGTGCGTGTGAAGGGAGAGAGGGTGAGAGTTTACAAGGTCACAAATCCCCTTGTGAGGGTCCCACCCTCATGACTTCATCTAACCCTAATTCCCAAAGACCCCACCTCTTAATGCAATCACATTGGGGGTTGGGCGTCAATAGGTAAATTTTGGGGGGATGTAAACATTCAGTCCATAACAAGAGCCCTCTTGGAAGTCTCACTCTGTGTCCATTTACCTCTCATTAGCTGGTGCTCGGTAACAAGGGCACTAGCTGTGGTGAGGGCCAGCGGCACCTTGCTTCAACCCGAGACCAAGACAGGTCGGAGAGAATAGATGGCGGGTGCAGGACAGGTGTACAACACCTACTTGAGTGAATGAATATGCAGATGAATGATGGAGAGGTGACATCTGGTGTCTGTGGGTTAAGTGTGGAAGAAACACTCACCTTAGTTGGACCTGTGATAGGACAAGGCAACATGTTTCTGATGCCACTGTACGGAAGAGAAGGGATCTTGTGGAAACTTCAGAAACTCTTCAGGACTTTGATGGAGAGCATGTTCTTCTCAAAGGCTGCTTCCGATGGGCTTCCTCTTTCCCCTCTTTGCAGAGATCTAGTTCCCTCATTTGGAACTTATCAGGTGCATGGTTGAGGGTGTGAAGAGTTGCTGGGTGGGTTTGTGGTACACCATCCACTTTCTAGAAGGTCCTCACGAGAGCATCTTTTCTTGAACAAAGAATAGGTCCATAATTCAAGCAGGGAGACCTGGAGGAAGAGAGTTTACACGTAAATGTCAATGCATTGAAATACTAAGATTTCTTAAAAACAAATACAAATCCTATTCTGGATGCTGGGATCCTGTGGGATTCATTATTGTCCCCTGGCGTTGGTCTGAAGCCTGGAGGTAGAAGAGGCTATCTATGGGTGGAGGGGGGGGACTTTAAAGTAGCAGGTCCTGTGATGCCACCCTTTCCCTGTACCTGCCTGGGCAGGTGGACCGGAGTGTTGTCCTCACGGGAAAGAACCACAGATGCGCCTCAGATACGGGGCAGGGAGGGGTGAGTTGCACTGCTGAGGGCACGTTGTACTGTCTCCTTCCTTCTGTTGACTAAGTAAATGAGGCAAAAATCTCAATCAGTGAAGGTTTATTAAGCTAAGATTGCAAGGATCCACCTAGGAAAAACACGAACCACAGACGAGCGGTGGGTGTTTTTCCGAAAGGGAAGTTGGAACCTTCAGCATATTAAAGGCATGCAGAGATATAGAGAGAAGGAACAGGGGAGGGCGGGGAGAGGATGAGGCAAAGTGGTTGCATTCTTATGAGGCCCAAGAAATCTACATTTGACATAAAATAAGGGAGTGAAGGAAGCATCTGTTATGTAGATGTTCTGGGGTAGGTGGAAGCATGTCTGATTCTGTCTCGTCTCCAGTTCTGTCAGCTGTGAGATAGACTTGTAATTCATTCTTATAGTGTGGAATGGGGTAGGCGTTAGCTTTAGGTGCTAGATGTAGGTACAGTTTGCATGTCCTTGCTTATGGGATGTTAGCCAGGAATTTCCTTAATCAGTGATCTGTGGGCCAGCTCTTCACAGGGGCCTGAGGCTTGACCTTGTCTTTTTGCATCAAGAGTTGGGGAGGGGTGGCCCCGAGATATTGATTTTCTTTTTTTATTGAGTCATTTTTTTTTTTTTTTTGAGTTAGAGTCTCACTCTGTTGCTAGACAGAGTACCTTGGTGTCAGCCTAGTTCACAGCAACCTCAAACTCCTGGGTTCAAGCAATCCTCCTGCCTCAGCCTCCCAAGTAGCTGGGACTACAGGCATGTGCCACCATGCCTGGCTAACTTTTTGTATACATATTTTTAGTTGGTCAATTAATTTCTTTCTATTTTTAGTAGAGACGGGGTCTCGCTTTTGCTCAGGCTAGTTTCAAACTCCTGACCTCAAGCAATCCGCCCGCCTCGGCCTCCCAGAGTGCTAGGATTACAGGCGTGAGCCGCCTTGCCTGGCCTGATTTTCTTACTGTACTTAGTGAATTGGTGGTCAGCTCTGCAGAGGGTAGGTATCCCTGTCCTCATTGTGTAGCTGAGCCACACCTGAGTGGACCAGGGGCCATGTGGTGGGTGGCAGCAGGCAAGTCCATGAGCCACTTTGGTTGGAGGCTTAGCCTGGTATTCATTCAAGCCTTCCAATCTTGATTCCTTTTTAGAAGTTTGATCCAAGGCTTTGTCAAATTTCCTGTAGATACTGCGTTTCCTAATATGTTTTCAGAGTCTGAAAGGCTTCCTTCTGACCCACCAGCACCCTGCATTTTCCAATCAGCCCTGTCCTCAGTCCTCCTCCAAGAAGCCTTCCTTGGTCTTCTCTACTGGAAGTCATTTTCCTCCCTCCTGTGGCACTTTCAGATACAGCACCGTGTTACAGACTTCTGAATGTCCTCTCCCTGCCACGTCAGCTCCATGATCAGATTGTCATCTCCTGCAGGGTTGGGTCTGGGGCTGGCACACAGTATGTGGTCACTGAGTGGTGGTAGCCATGAGGTCTCAAAGCTGTTCTTTGCTCTGGAACCGGGTGTGCTCTGAGTTCCTGATTTTTCTCCCTCCCTACTAACCTTTACAAAGCGTCCTCAGCCCTGTGGTTTCTGAACACTTCCTCTGAGTCACATGGGAATTGCTGTTCGGAAGGGTGGAGTCCCTGTTGTTCCCCTCTCTTCTCGAGTCCCAGGGGCTGCCCCAGGGGTGTCCCACCGGGGCTCTGTAACTGAGGTGGGATCTGGCTGACCACGCGTGGGCAGGCGGAATGCTGCCCTTAGTCAGCCAGATCCCCAAGTCCGCTTTTGGCAGTGGCTGGTTTGTGCTCTGGGGGGGATATTCAAGGTGAACCTGTAGAGCATGATGACCATAGTGTGTTGCCGATTTTTTCTTTTTGAGACAAGGTCTCACTCTGTAGCCCGGGCTAGAGTGCAGTGGCATCATCATAGCTCACTGCAGCCTCAAACTCCCGGGCTCAAATGATCCTCCTGCCTGAGTAGCTGGAACTACAGGCACATGCCACCATGCCCGACTAATTTTCCTATTTGTTGTAGAGGGTGGAGTCTCACTGAGTGGCTCAGGCTGTCTCAAACTCTTGGCCTCAAGTGGTCCTCCTGCCTCCCAAAGTGCTAGGATTACAGGCATGGGCCATCACGCCCAGCCTCATTGCCGATTTCTGATGCAGTCACACAATTGCAACCATATGGCACACTCTTGGGGTGGGGGGTGGTGTCTGCTGTCCACAAGACATGAATGTGAGTCATCTATGGAATTTTTCTAATAGTCACAGTAAAAAGTAAAAACACAGGTGCAATTAATTTGATCTAAAATGTCATTTCATTATGTAATTGATATAAAAATTATATTTAACATTTTTTTGTACTGTCTTTAAAACTAGGGGTGTTTTACACTCTATTTGGATTAGTCACATTGCAAATGCTCAGTAGCCACACGTGGCTGGTGGCAGCTCTAGACACGTGATCAGCCAAATTTATGTTGATTCTCCTGCTTGATGCTCCTTGAGAGCAGGGACTGTTACAATTAGGTCCCTCCCTTCACATGCCTGGTGCCATCCTTGGCCCGGTGCTGGTGTCAGTGCCTGTGATTGAGCGGGGCACTGTCTGGCAGGCTGACAGTGCTGGGCTGGGACTCACATTGCCTGGAGTCTGGTCACAGCTCTGCTCCTAACCAGATCTGTGATCTTGGGGAAGGCTCTGGACTCCCAGCCTCAGTTTCCTTTCTGGAAGATGAAGCTTTTGGACCCCCGGGGTCCTTTCTGGTTGTGACATGCCCTGAATCGAGCCACAGATGTGGGCAGGGAAGGTGTCAGGACCACTGTCTCCACCTTGGTCTCGTTAGGGAGCCAGGGCTTCTGAGAAAGGCCACGTGATGTCCCCATCCCACGAGGGGCTGGTGGTGGCGTCTGATCCTGACCTAGGGCTGACAAGTTTATCTGACCCGCTGGGTCCTGGACTGGAGAGTTGTTTGCTCACTGATCCGGTGCCCCATCCGGCATTTACAAGGACCTACAGGGGCCAGGCCTTTTCCGGGAGTGGAGAGACAGATGTGAGCATGTCCCAGGCCTTGGAATGCTCATTTCTTGAAAGGTGCTATGGGCCCCGGGCAGCTGCTGCCATTTCCTAAGGCCTCACGAGGGATCTTTCTCTTGCAGGCTCAACTGGAAGCGCAGAAAGCCACTCAGGACTTCCAGAGGGCCACCGAGGTGCTCCGTGCTGCCAAGGAGACCATCTCCCTGGCCGAGCAGCGGCTGCTGGAGGATGACAAGCGGCAGTTCGACTCGGCCTGGCAGGAGATGCTGAATCACGCCACTCAGAGGGTATGAGTCACACGCAGCGGGTGTGCACGCTGAGGGGAGTGTCTGCGTCTGTGTACACGCGTGGGTGGCGGGTCCCCTCAAGCAGAGGTAACAGACTCGACTCCCAGGTGGGTTGCCTAAAAACACTCTGAAAGTCACAGGTTGCCACCTGCATATGGCCTTTTGGCTGGGCCTGGCACTAAGCCGTGCTCAGGGATGACAGTCACCCAGTGACAAATAGAGCTGCTTGGCATCAGCAGCTCCAGCTAAGGGCCTGGACAGAGGGGTGATGTGGGCCTGGGGCCTGCCAGGGGTCTTGGTGACGCCCTTGAGAGTCTGCCTGTGGGCTGAAATGGAAAATGTAGGCGTTAATGCCGGTAGCAACCTCGATTTTCAATGTGTCTCCTGTCACAGTGGCTCAGGTCCTAGGGGATGTCATAATTCAAGATGACCTTGTGCTTCCTTAAATAGAAAGCCTGGCACACAAATGATTTGGAGTCAAATCTGTGTTGACTTTATACCACCTCTCCCTGAAGCCTGAGGTTCTTCTGGCCGGGCTGTATGTATGGTCTTGAGCCTCCTGCCCCCTAGTGGGTGTGTGGACTGGGACTAGCTTTTCTGGGTCATCTCATGAGAAATGGAAGGGGAAGTTGGAAATCTTGGAAATTTACAAGCCAAAGCCTGGTAGGAAAAGGACAAGAAAAAGGAGAGTCCTTTTTTCCAAGACAAAAGGAAAGATGAAGCCACCCTTTCTTTTTGCCCTCCCTCCACCCCAGCTAGAGAAATTCTTATCAGCCTATAAGAAGTCATTTCCAACAACATTTAATCAGTTCTTTAAAGATGAACAAAACATGTTTCTGCTTTGGATATCTTTTTTTTTTTTTTTTAAGTCCTGGAGCCTTAGTGGATGGTGGGGGACCTCTCAAGGAGTGGTGTCCCCAGGGGCTCCACATCACACAACCCAGGGCACCATTCGCACGACAGTCTTTGGGAATAGTGCCTTGTGGAGTTGTGCAGTGCACAACCTGTGGGGCTGTACAGGATGGCTCTGGACTCCTGAGATCGTGTAGGCCTTCATAGGGGCCTGGGAGGGTCAGCCGATATGTGCCCTCTCTGGCCACCGAAAGAAAGGGCCCAGTCATTTGGTTTTCTTGATCATGGCGGCATCTTCTGTAGATTAGCCAGGCGTTCTGGGTCACAGGCCAGGATTTCCACATTGGGGCTGTTATTGCTCTTCCCAGATTCCTTCAGAGTAGAATAGGTTAGAAATGCTTCTCGTTGAACTGCTGAGTTCAAAACTGACACAAGCAAGACACGAAGCCTGTGGCAAAGCTTTCCCCTCCTGTCCCTGCATCATTCAGAAACTCAGACTACAGGAGGTGCTCTCTGATTGTGGATGACACAGAATGTAGTTCTTCCTCTGGGACAGACACTCATGTATTTGGCTTTGAACCAGCACCAGGTATCTGAGAACTCTCTTCATTTAGCATGTCTCCCAGTGGGGCTCATGCTGACCATTCCCACACCCCACAGCACGTTCTGCTTGCTGAAAGCTGCTTGACGAAGGGCCTAATGTCCCTGCCCTGTCTGGCTTCTGGATATTCTAGGAAGCTTGTTTCTTTAGGAGAAGGGAGCTTCATCTCCCTCTTCTTTCAAAGAAAGTGAAGTGTTACTGTCTTGAAGAAATGGCAGTGGCACCAGTTTGGGACACATGGTCCCTCTAGGCACAGCGGAAGAACACTGGCGTCCCACGTTACTTGCCTGAGGCCATCTATGGGGCTCCTCCCCTTTCCAGCACACTTCCCGTGGGGACATTGAACAGCCACCTTTGAAGTCATGCTTGAAGCCAGCAATACTAGGAGAGGTCAGGAGTCCTGGCGTGCTCTGTTAGGCCACACACAATAGCTTAGGCAGGGACAAGGGAGCAGTTCTCTGCACGGTGCTGGGGTTGCGGAGGGCTCTGGCAGACACGCACAGTGTGAGGCAGGCAGAGCTGCCACGCCTGCAGTTGAGTGGCCTCCTGAGGGCACAGGGCCCAGGTCCCTGCTGCTCCCCAGTGGGAAAGTGTTGGCTTTTTATCCTAAGGGAGAGAGAAGGGCTGGCATCCTGGGAGGGAAGAGTGGCTTTTCTGATGGCTGCTGAAAGAGCTCAGATAGAGGAAGAGGGTAACTTGACTTGGAAAGGGAGAGGTACCAAGTGCTCGTGAGCCAGTAGCAGGTGGCTGCCGGAGAGGACAGGGCGTGGAGTCAGCCCCTTTTCCTGCTCCTGCGGTGGGTACGAGCTGGGTGGCAGGTGTGGAGCTGCTCAGGGCAGCCCCCTTGATGTCGGTGGGCTCACACCACCCCTCTTCCCCACGGTGGTGAGAAGCGCCTTCTTGGGGCCCACTGGCCCAGGGACGTGGTAAGAATCAGCAAGGAGCTGGTCAAGGTTCTGAGGACACAGCGACACTGCCTTCCCTGGGCAGAGTAGGACCCTGATCTTAGTTCTGTGGTGTTCGGAAGAAATGTCATGAATGTAACTGAGGGTGGAAAGCCGGTGGATGTCCTCCGGTCAGGTCAGGTCAGGTCATTCTTCTGGCGTGAGACCCAGTGAGGAGGCTGTGCTCAGCCAGGCTGGCACACCCGTTCTGTACCCAAGTGGTACCCAGGAAAGAAGGTGCTACTGATATTTTCTGTGGGCTGTCATGAGCAGGAGCCGGGGCTGAGCCCATGCTCCCTGGGCCGTCAGGACCTGGCTGCTCTGGGGTTTCTGGGAGGGGGTGGTGGTTCCAGTCTGCCACACCTGTCCCTGTGCCGCCTTACTCCTCCCTTGCCCTACCCCCCACACCAATGCCTGGTCTCTAGGCTGCAGGTGGAAGAGCTCTTTGGTTACCTAGGAGATGTCACCAAGGCGAAATGCTTGGTGGCCTTCTCCCTTGAGGCGGGAAGCTGAATGTGTGTGTGTGTGTGTGTGTGTGTGTAGGGGTCTCTTCCAAGATTTGGAGGTTGTGTGTACATGTGAGGAAGGGTAGACTGGGACAGGATATGGTGACATGGCCTGATATGAGTGAAGCAGGGCATAATGAAGTTCTGGCCACTTCCTCAGTCAGTTGCCAAGTGGATGGAGCTTTCGCAGTGTTTTGTTTTAGAAAGCCTTTGCAGCCCAGGGGCCGAGATAGAATGCGAGGGCCCGAGTGCAGCTAGTGAGAACCCTGTTTCTTGCAGAGGACTGTTTCTGTACAGTAGCCTCAATTTATAGCTTTTATGAATCAGAGTCTATTTAAAATGCATTCAGGCAACTTCTTAAATGTGAACCTTGCACTGGATCCTTTTGTAATGGGACAGATCACCTCCACTATGTGGTCTTTGTCTGTCTGATAAGCTTGGGGTTTCCAGTTTTCATAAAGGTAAGACCAGTAAATCATTAAAGCTTAAGACTTAAGTCTGAGGAGTTACTGCTGTTTCCCCAAATGTCAGGCATGAGATATTTTTTAGCACATTTTGTTTCCTTGTGGAAATGACAGAAGCAAAGAGAAAGGATTCTCCCAGCCCTTTTGGCTCTTGCTCCAGAAGTCATTTTAGCAAGTATGTCACCTCATGCCCACTGAGCTCTGTTCCCTCCTACTTTTCTTCTCTTTGTTTTTATTATTTTAAAAACTATCCCAAGCATTGATACCTTTGTTAAAAGATATGCATTGAACTTCTTAAAAGTACATAATTGTGATACAAATATAAAATGTTCTTGTGTCAAAAGATTTTATTTAACTCATTAAGGGGAGGGAACCAATAAGATGTTATAACAATTCTTGAGAATATTGGATTCTTAAAAGAATTAAAAAAAAAACACAGAAAATCAGGAATGCTGAAATGCATATATAAACAAATGTCAAGTTGGTCATTATAGGGCAGTCAGTAATCAATTACATCTCTACCAGGACATAATTCAGTTTCATTTCTCTGGGTAAGAATCATTTGTATTACTGTCAGTTTCTTACAACTTACAGGGTTATAAAATAGCCCCAAGACAAAGTCAGATATAACCTGGAAGGGTACCCTAGACAGGACACTTTGTAATTTTATGCCCATATCAAAGTCTTTCATAATTTTTCCTGACATCTTTAATCCATATTATAAGTAATAAATGAGTGAATAAACTATCCTAGAGCTGACTGTGGCCATTGTCTGGAGAAAATGGTAAGATGTTAGCAACCTCTTTCTGTGGGCTTCACCTTTTAACCTTGAGTGAAAGAGATAGCTGTGCCCTCCTGAAATTGTCCTGCTGTAGTCCCAGAGTTTGGATCAGTAACTGGGCCCTCGGGGCTCCTCTCTGGTGCTCCTCAGGTAAAACAGAATAGTCCTTTAGCCTAACCTCACTCCTGTCTTTCCGGTTCATTTTATGATGCTGTGTGAGTTGCAGGTAGAAGATGGGGAAGGAAATTGCAAATTGCTTATGTGGCCTAAACTGTCATTTATTGCCTTTCTCTTTCCTCAGTGCAGCCCATGTTCTCACGCCTTTCTTTGGGTTAGCAAGGAGAGAACTAGCATTGCCCATGGCTCTGAGAATGTGCCTTTGAGCTGCTTTGTTTTTGGCCATTGAGGGCCCTTAATTGTTGGTTCTTAAATTCATTTTTATCAACAGGCTTAATAAAATATTCCCACCAGAACTCTGACTAGTCTCCTGGTAATGAATTTTTGTGACCTTCTTGTGACCCTCAAAACTGGAATGACTTTTTTTAAAAGAGATGGGGTCTTGTTCTGTCTCCCAGGCTGGAGTGCAGTGGTGCAGTCTTAGCTCACAGCAGCCTCAAAACACCTGGGCTCAAGTTATCCTCCTGTCTCAGCCTGCTGAGTAGCTGGGACTACAGGCATGCACCACCATGCCCGGCTAATTTTTCTTAATTTTTTTTTTTTTTTTTCAGAGACGAAGTCTCCCTATATTGCCCAGGTTGGTCTTGAACCTTTGGCTTCAAGTGATCCTCCCACCTCAAACTTCCAAGTTGCTAGGATTACAGGCATGAACCACTGCCCCTGGCTCTGAATGACTGGTTTTTGACTGGGTTTTAATTTAATTCTTTAAAGTTTGACTCTTCTGGATCCTGGATTCTTGTATGTGCAGCCAGCTAATTCAGGATATTTGGGAAAGGACCAAACAGCTAAAATCAGGATTGCCTCGTTGGCTTGACTGCTGTTGTGCCTGGCGTTGCTAGTTCTTAGTTTTGCTATTCTTCCAGTTCCTTGACGTCTCTTCAGTTCCCAGTGGTGCTCTCTGGCCCTTTGCCAGTGTGTCAGGCCTTTGCTCCAAGAAGGAAGCAGAAGGACTTGAAAGTGGCTCTTAGAGCCAGGGGGCCTGAGCAGAAGAAGGTAACATTGGTTGAATCAGAAAACATTACAGATTTTTCTGATTTTTGTTTTTCCATTTTTTTCCCCAGTCATTGCCAGAGCAATTTCAATCTTCTCTGTCTGACAGGGCTTTTTCAAAATAGACCAATAGGGCAGGGCATAGTGGCTCATGCCTGTAATCCTAGTACTCCGGGAGGCCGAGGTGGGAGGATCGCTTGAAGTCTGGAGTTCGAGACCAGACTGAGCAACAGCAAGATCCCATCTCTATTAAAAATAGAAAAATTACCTGGTTTGGTGGTGCATGCCTGTAGTCCCAGCTATTCGGGAGGCTGAGGCAGGAGGATGGCTTGAGCCCAGGAGGTTGAGGTTGCAGTGAGCTATGATGACACCACTGCACTCTACCCAGGGCAACAGAGCGAGACTCTGTCTTGGGGGAAAAAAAAAGAAAAATAAAATCAATAGGAAAAAATAATACAATTTTATTAGGAAGTTAGTTTATTCTTAGTCTGCTCACTGATTTCCTCAAAAAATATTTTCTAAAAAAATGATACAAGTAATACCCCCAACCAGGAGCTGTCCTGGGCTGATCTCTGCTATTGTTTGAAGGTCATGGAGGCGGAGCAGACCAAGACAAGGAGCGAGCTGGTGCATAAGGAGACAGCGGCCAGGTACAATGCTGCTATGGGCCGCATGCGGCAGCTGGAGAAGAAACTCAAGAGAGCCATCAACAAGTCCAAGTAAGTCTGGGCGCAGCCCCCGGCGGGGCCCTGTGGTTGTCCTCTGCCGCATCTTCTCAACCTTTCGTGTGTCATATGCTTAAGCACCAGCCCGAGCAAGCCTTTAACTTAGACCCTGGGGCCTCACCGGAGCCCTCTGCCCTCCCCAGAGGCAGAGGATGGTGAGGGGTGGGCTGCTCTAGATATGACTGCCTTGGGGGATACAAAAGCATGAATTTCAAAAGCAAACTGTTCTTTTTTTTGGGACAGTCTCTCTCAGTCACCCAGGTTACAGTGCTGTGGTATCAGCCTAGCTCACAGCAACCTCAAACTCCTGGGCTCAAGTAATCCTCCTGCCTCAGCCTCCCAAGTAGCTGGGACTACAGGTGCATGCCACCACACCTGGCTAAATTTTTGTTTCTATCTTTAGTTGCCTGGCTAATTTTTTTCTATTTTTAGTAGAGACGGGTCTCGCTCTTGCTCAGGCTTGTCTCAAACTCCCGAGCTCAAGCGATCCTCCTGCCTCAGCCTCCCAGAGTGCTGGGATTAAAGGCATGAGCCACTACGCCTGGCCAAAAGCAAACTGCTAAATGGCCCATTGCCTGGGATCTAGGAAACTCAGGTTGTACCCTTGGCTCTGTGGCTGACAGAGCCTGTCCCTCAGTTTACCTATCAGCACAGGGGAGATGACCTGTGTTCACAGGACACATGTTCCCTGCGGATCAAGAGCTGATGAAATGCTGTAAGACTGGTTTTAATAGTTTTTTTCAATTCTTTTCTCACTATCACTTTCTATATTTTTATATAATAATGATCCTGGTGGGCAACACAGCTGTGTCTCTTGGTTATGGATAAGCCCCCTAATTCATTCCCAATTGTTGGGCCTCTAAGCAAAAGGAGTAGGACTTGGGATGGCCTAGACCCAACAGCCAAAGACAGGCTTAGAGCAGAATGTGTGTTCAGGGCTACTGAATGCCTGTCCTTGGGGCAGTAGATGCCAGTCCTAGCTGGTCAACTGGAAGTTTGGCAGATGGCCAGCCCTCCACCAGTTGAGGGGAAGGTGCTAGCACAATGGGAAAGAGGATCTGTGAAGTATTTCATCCTCCCCTGGTCTGTACTACCCTGGCACCTTCCCCTGGGCTTGTCTTCGATTCCTACCTGCTCCCTTCCACATACATGTGAACATACACTGCAGAATAACGTCTAATCATTTGCTACTGCACTTAATTGGTACATTTTTGTTTTGGCTTGGTTTTTGGTGTGTGTGTCAGGGCTGACCTGTTGAAAGCCAATTACAGATATATGTGTACGTGGCAATTTTCTTGATGAGGGGAGGGTTGCTGTAGTACCTGGGTCTGCCCTGGGCAAGCAAAGACATCAACTGTATGGCAATACCTGAGGGAGCTGGAGGAGCAGCTTTGGATGCTGCTTCCTTTGGTATCAATGTGTTGGATCTTTTCTCAAAAGTTCCCAACCCACCTGCACACATATCACATATACATTGCTCATGAATTAACCTGTTTAAGAAAATGAATCCTGTGACTGTACTCTGCCAGCCTTATAGTGCTTGAGAAGAATGTAGGGACAGATCCCAAAGCGGGTGGCTCCTGTCTAGCTACAGGATAAAATGTAGAACTGTGCATTCCATGGACTGGCTTCCAGGCCTCCTCCATGCCCACCCTGCCTCTCTAACCCTCACTTTGGTCACACTCTGCTTCCTGTTCTCCATCCTTGGCGTGGGTGCTCACGTTCCTTTTGCCTGGACACCTTCCCTTTGCTCTCCCAAGCCCACTCACGCTCTCCACACCCTGAGCAGGCTGATGGCCACTCCTTTTGGTCGCGAGAGAGCCTGCACACCCCATTCTTTTCCCATGTCTCAGATCTTCCATACCCATCAATGGTAGTCTCCTAAGGTCCTTGTCATCCATCTGGATCCTCAAGATGCAGGATTGGGAAGATTTGTGGAGGATGGACAGCTCAATAAAGCATTGGATTACTCTTAATAAGGCATCCTCAAACTATGGCTCGCGGGCCACACGTGGGTGTTTTTGCCTGTTTGTTTTTTTACTTCAAAATAAGATATGTGCAGTGTGCATAGGAATTTGTTCATAGTTTTTTTTTAAACTATGGTCTGGCCCTCCAATGGTCTGAGGGACAGTGAACTGGCCCCGTTTAAAAAGTTTGAGGACCCCTGCTCTTAATGCGCAGAAACCCAAGTTCCTGCAGAGAACCAGGCTCTTCTGGCTGACCCAGAACCCAGGCCACTGGTAGGATGTTGGCATTTCTTGTCCTCTCTCTTGCCCATGATGTGGCTGGGTCTGCCGACAGTCTAATGCCTCCAGTCCTGGACAAAGTCCAGGAGGGTCGACTTGAGACCCCTCATCATGGTGGCCCTGCTGACCTCAGTGATGGGAATAGTGCTGTTCTTCCCAGTCAACCTCAGCAGAGGCGAGGGGTTTCAGCATCCTCTTCTCCAGCCTTATCTGCTCCTCATCGTCAGAAAGCAGACCTGGCCGCCTTCCTTGCTGGACATACCGTTTGGCCCTAAACAGCCTCCCCAAAGAGGGAAGTGAATGAGGGTGCAGGGTGCCCAGGATACGTGTGCGCATGTGTGGGTTCCCCGTGTCTGGAGATAGGCCTCTTGTCAGCACAGCCCCAGGTGAGCTCAGCTGCTGTTTGGTGTCTGTCAGGCCCCATAGCTGGGAGCATCACCTTCACCTCATGTCCTCGGCAGTGTTATTAAATCCTGGACGGATGACCTGGCCAGCTGTGGCTAATGCCTCTCATTCATCTTGTGGAGTCTTTTGTATGGTCATTGTATCATGTTACTCATGGCTTTCCTTCCTGTCTTTTGCAGGCCTTATTTTGAACTCAAGGCAAAGTACTATGTGCAGCTCGAGGTATGTGTGACTTTGGCTTTGTTTGCTGATAGGATTTTTCTGTACTCAAAGCTCCACTTTTCTGTGATAGCAGGTTTTCAAATGGCCCATTTGCTACAAGGGAGAGTGGAGAGATACATTCTTTACTGAGTTTTCAGACTTTAAAATGGTCTTGGTTGGTCTTCAGTGGTCTCTGAACCTCTCAAATGCTGCCATTCGGCTTTTGTATTGTACTCTAGAGTGCAGTGATCTCACAGCTTGCTCCTGGGACCAGCAGCATCTGCACCACCTAGAAAACTTGATAGAAATGCAAATGCCCAGGTCCCACCCTACACCTACTCACAAGCTCTGTGGTTAAAATCTAGCAATCTGAGCTTTATAACAAGCACTCCAGGGGATTCTGATGCAAGCTCAAGTTTGAGAACCACTGTACTGGGGACCAAGAAGCTAGACTGTGAGACTTTGAGGTGTTTGGTTATTTTTTTCCCTGATGGGGTTTATTCCACCAGTGAGAGTTCCTGGATATTAGAGCTTGTCACCTGGATGTGAGTGGGGGTGGTGGTAGTGGCTGGTTTTATGTCTGGTGAATGGATAGCTGTGCTCAGTTATCAGGTCCTCAGTCAAGGCTTGGGAAATTCTTTGTGGTAGAAGGATGGGCCGAAAATGTACTTGAATCTAGCATTCAGAAAGCATTTCAAGGCAAGCAGGGGCAGTCTTCACTTATTGAGTCTCCTGTTCTGACCAGCAACTGAAGAAGACCGTGGATGACCTGCAGGCCAAACTGACCCTGGCAAAAGGCGAGTACAAGACGGCCCTGAAGAACCTGGAGATGATCTCGGATGAGATCCATGAGCGGCGGCGCTCCAGTGCCATGGGACCTCGGGGCTGCGGCGTTGGGGCCGAGGGCAGTAGCACATCTGTGGAGGACCTGTCAGGGAGCAAGCCCGAGCCAGATACCGTTTCTGGTGAGTTGGGGGTTCCATGGGCAGGTGGGGAGATCATACAGCTTGTGCGATCTGCTTCCAGGGCTGTCTTGTCCCAGTGTCTCCACCCTCTGGTCATCACTGAAGGGTCTCGGAGAGTTAGGGAGGCCTGAGGGTTATTTCTGGTGACTTCCTATGTTTTATGGAACACCGTGGTCATCAGTCAGGATTCTGTGTAATTTTGGGAAATGTTACACTTTGACCCTTGAGACTCAAAGGTACACATGGGAATGTTCAGGGCTCTGAGAAGTTATCTAAGAATAGGGATTTTGGAATCATATTGATTCAAATCCAGCCTTTCACATCATTGCTAGTACATGGTGTGGGCAAGGTCTTAACTTTATATTTCATTTTTTTTTTTTTCACTTGTAAAATGGTAGTACCTTCTATATACTATCCCTTTTGTAGAGTGGTGGTTAGGATTATATGAAACAACGCCTGGCACCCAGTAAGCAGTCAGCAAATGGTGGCTCTCACTGGTGTCTGACCACAGAGACCTTTTTTTCCCAGGACCACCATCCCCCTGGAAACTGATAAGAGGTTTGACTTCTGTTATGTTAATCAAGAAAACTCATACAACACTATCTTTGCATATTTCCGTTTCCTTTTCTGTGGAATAATTCCTGTTGGCTCTTTCCCAGGTTCCTTCCTCAGTTCTTTAATTCCATCCAATGTTTAGGTGCCAGGTCCAAGGAAAAGGAAATTATAATTTAAGCAACAGCTATGTGTGAATTACTTTATTATATAACATCATATAAACCCTGTGTGGATAGGATCATGTAGCTCAGAGATGAGTAACTTGACCCAAGGACACAGCAAGTAGTGGAGTTAGGATCTGAATTCTGTCCTCAACGTTACAGAACTTATCATTTGTAACAATCCTCTATTGAATGCTATAAGGCTGTTTTTAAAGATGAAGGGAGGAGGAAAGATCTAATAAGTGGGATTGTATGTAGGCTGAGGGAAAATCACTAAAGTCTGAAGAGGTTTTGAAACCTTGGGAATATTCAGGTCCACAAAATAAGGCACAAGCTGCAGACCACTGTAAAGGACTTTTGTTCTTTTGCAGCAAATAGCGATCTAGGTAGATTCTGAGTGTGTTTTATGAGATCAGAAGTTACTTGGAAGGTTAAAAAAGGTCCCAACAGCAGGGCTGTTTCTTCCAGCAACTTTTGCTTCTATTGCCTTGGAAGAAAGCAGCCCATCAGTCTGACTGGCTTTGTTTGGGATACGTTACAGAGGGCCAGCACCTTTTCCTGTGCATGTGTGTCAGGCGAACGTGATAACCACTACACTACAGAAACCTTCCTGTGCACATGTGAATCTGTTGGAGTTAATGAGGTGAAGAGGTCCTGATCTATGGCTGAATTCATCTTCATCTTTAGGCAGTGCCTAATGACACTGATTTCTAGGCGGGAGTTGTAAGGTTATTCTAACACACAGATATCCATGGGATATGACTGCCAGCTACTTCCCTTCAAGCTGCTTTAGAGGCTGGACTTTCAGGCTTGGGACATCACATTCCTTTATCAGGTGCCCACAATGGCAGAAATTCTGCAGTCCCCATGCTGTGTCCAGCAGCCTGACAGCAGCAAACACTTTTGGAGGTGTCTGAGGAGCGAGGTGAGGGTCAGACCCCACGTGACTGGTGTTCTCTCTCGTCCTAGTGGCCTCGGAGGCCTTTGAAGATGACAACTGTAGCAACTTTGTGTCCGAAGATGACTCAGAAACCCAGTCTGTGTCCAGCTTCAGTTCAGGACCAACGAGCCCGTCTGAGATGCCTGACCAGTTCCCTGCAGCTGTGAGGCCTGGCAGCCTGGATCTGCCCAGCCCTGTTTCCCTGTCGGAGTTTGGGATGATTTTCCCAGTGTTGGGCCCTCGAAGTGAATGCAGTGGGGCCTCCTCCCCCGAATGTGAGGTGGAACGAGGTGAGTTGCAGTCCTCTGGCCCTGTCCCAGATGACACACTGCTTTTGCAGCCTGATCTTTGTACTGTTGTGTGCCTTTGCGAGGTTGCTGTGCCCCGAGAGCTGCATTACTGGGTCTCTGTATATGTGCCGTTGGTGTTACTCACTGAGGCTGTTTCCAAGTGCTGTTCTGGGGGCTCCTGGGCTCTACTCAGCTTCTATAAAGTAGAACTTAGGTCCTGTGTCTCTCATCAGAATAGACCTCTTGGCAAACACTAGAGAGTTTTGTCTCCCAGCTATAAAATGAGCATGACACGCTTCATCTCTAAAGATAAGGAATATATAAAATACCGTAAGGAATGAAAGCAATAGGCGAGTAATTATGTGCTGGAGGACCCTCTCGGATATGCATATAGTGGGCAACACTGGGAATTTTAAAGGGCTCAGTTGGCTTGGGCCCAAGTGACTCTGAATTGTCAATACTCACTTTTTTTTTTTTTTAAACACTGACTTTTCTGAGAATCAATACTCACTTTTGATGATCTTTATATTTCTATAGGAGACAGGGCAGAAGGGGCAGAGAATAAAACGAGCGACAAAGCCAACAACAACCGGGGTCTCAGCAACGGCAGTGGCAGTGGTGGCAGCAGTAAGAGCCAAAGCAGCATTTCCCCTGAGAGCCAGGCCTTGGAGAACCGGATGAAGCAACTTTCCCTCCAGTGCTCAAAGGGAAGAGACAGGATTATTGCTGACATAAAAATGGTGCAGATTGGTTGATCCATCCAAGGCCCTGGCCACATGTGTGTCAATATTTATACACGAAACTGGAGAACATTGTGCCAATAATCATTTAATATATGCCAAATCTTAAGCGTTTACTCTAAACTGCACTAAAGGTTTCAGTGACCTTGAGGGCTGAAGATTTTTCTTCTGGGTAAGAGCTCTTAGGCTGGTTTGTTTTTCAGAGCAGAGGAGTTGTTGCAGGTGGACTGTGACTAGGTCCACAGCCTTTATGGAACATTCTGTGTAACGGCGTTATGGAAGCAATAACTAGTTCCTATGAAAGAACCGGAGCCAGGAAGAGGGCTGGGAAGCTAAGCCAAAGTGGGGGCAACAGCTGGCTTCTCTTTCCCTTTTCTCACCCTCAGTTTGGGGAAAATGGAGCCGTTCTCACCATTATCTCCCAGGGTATCTTAATGAAATAAAAAATGGCCACATACACAAAACAAAAGCTTAAGTATTCAGAGCACACCTTTTTGAAGGCTTAAAGAAAAAAATCCAAGAACACAATTCATTTTCATCACCTCTGGTGTTCAGAGGGGCTTTAGAAAGTGTTATGCTGGGACACCCATTTTCTAGAAAGGTTACCATGAACTGCACTTTTTGGGGTGGGAAAGGTGAATGCTGGTGTAGGGATGGGGGTGGGGGGAATGAGGGTAGCAGGGAAATATCATAGAAGGGAATTTGTGGCTGTGGGAAAGAAGGTTCTGTAGCATAAACCTTATCCTGCCAGCCAAGGGGATTTATTCTATGAAAAGTGCATGTGAAGAATGGTTTCAATTGTTATTAGACTGACAAGGTGTTAATTTCTCTGTAGGTTGTAACTTTAAAAATGAATGAAATTATTTAAGGGTTATGCTGCACTAGTATTCCTTAGAGGAAGAGTTCTTTAAAGCTAGGAAAGGGAGTAGGCATGTGCTGGCAAAGGCTGTTAAATAGAAGCAATGGAGTCTGTTATGCTAATAGTGTTAAGACTACTTTTCTTTAATGTTTTCATGGTTATGCATATTTAGAACACTGTATTTGTCCTGTTTTGTTAAAACATTTAGCATTTCTAAAAGAAAAAAACCAACCCCCTCCTATTTCAAATTGTTCTGTCACAGCTTGTATATTTAAGTCATTTGTAAATCTCTTCATACAGTTTGACTGATACAGTATCCTAATCACAAGATTATTTTGTACTTGTCTTAATACCTTGAGTGTAATAAAAACAGCTTAAGAAAACTTCCTGTGACTTCAAATAAGAAATCCCAGTGTTGCTTTAATGTCCTATTCTAGGCAACCCTCTTGCTGTAAGGAGGAGCATGGAGTACAGCAGTCTCATGTCTCATTTTCAATTAAGGTCCTGAATCCTAATAATTTAAGCCCCAATTACCAAGGTTTGTATTAGAATTCTACTTTTGCTGCTACTGAAGCTGGGCAATGAGGAGACAATGGGTGGGGAAATACTGATAAGGCAGCCAGCTGGAGGAGTGGTTCTCAACCTCAGCTGCACATTGCAGTCTCCTAGGGAGCTTGAGGATTGCTGTCTGGTCTCATCCCCAGAGACTGATTTGGTGTATGCTTGGGCACTGGACTTTTAAGAGCTCCCCAGGTGATGCAAATGTGCATTAATGATTGAGAATCAGATGACATATTGGATGCTTTCTCTCATGGACCTGTTAATCTGTGCACTTCATATTAAAGCATCCTGTGGGAAAAAGTGCATGGTTGGCCAATCATGAGGATTAGAATAGTTCCAGAAAAGATAACTCTTTGCAATATCAAATATAGATGTTTTACCTAGTATTATTTCATCTGGAAAAGTTAAATTCCTTTTACTATGTTTAATAATTCTAGTCACCTTCAGGGTCCATATATTCTCAAGATCCCCCTACACACCATGACCTTTTTACCTCTAGCAAAGACACTGAAACTTTCTCGACTTTACTGTTAGCAAAAATCCCCACAACTGAGGCTTTTCTTTTCCCTCTTAGAAAAAACATGACCTGGCAAATAGCCCAGACTGGGATGGTTTAAAGTTCTTACACAGTTAAATGTTCAGAATCTGTGTGGTGAATTTCTGGCTCAAACAGTTTATTACTTACAGTGTTGCACATTACATTTGTCTTTCATAAATGGAAGCACAAAAGAACATTTCATTAATGACCAGAAATTTATCTCTAAGCACTTCCTGCAGAGAATGAAAGTGGGATGGAATTTTGTAACATTGGGCTTTCCTTCTCTTTTCCCTTTTATTTTGCACTTCACGTTTATGAGAGCATCTTCCCCAAGTGCCAAAACGTGTTCTCATAAACCCTTATGGAGCAGCTGAATCCAACCAGGTCCCAACCAAACCTGGGACCTACAAAGACATTCTCTCTGGGGTCCAAAATGGAACCAAACTCAGGAAAAATGAAGGGCAGGGGTAGAGAGAAAGTCTCTGAGATCTTTGTCTTAAAAGCAGGAGGTCTTGGATCCAGGGGAGCTTACCAGAGTTTCTTCCAGCGAGGTCAGGGAGATAACTAAGCTATCAAAGGCCTCACACAGATGTTAGCGTATCGACCTCCAATCATGCTGGGGAAAACAGTGCAGGGGAAGGGTGTCTCCCTGGGTCCCTTAACAGTCGCCATTTGTTAATTAAAAAAAAATGAGAGCTTTATTTCTTACAAAGGGTAGCAACCAGCTGGGCAGCCATTCCAACAAGTTGGAAAGCCAAGTTCCAGCCAGAAGCCATGCACACCCGCTTCCTCCCTTGTCTTTGAAAAAAGACAAAACCTGGACAACCAAGGTATAGTGCTCTATCCTTATTTAGGCATTAGAACTTTATAATCTCATTTTCTGTCTCAATCCCCTTTTCCCATCAATCTACCATTTGCTTGTTTCCTACCCAGAGAGGGACTGCAAACCACCTTTTGTTCTTTTCAAATTTCTAGGTTAAAGTAATCCCCTACCCACCCGTTCCCGTCACTGCAGCCTTCTTACTTTATCTCTGCTACATCTCGCATTTTATTCTCTTCTGGGAATTCCCTATCCACTTGGCTTCTTCACCTTCCCCCTAACCTCCCTGTTTTCTCGTATCTTGTGTTGTCACTCTTTATAGTTACCTCTTCTAAGAATTTAGAAAAACTTTCTAAAGATTTCTCCCAAATCAGTTCTTAACATCTTTAGTTAACATTTTACTTTTGATTTTTCTGGGTGATCTCATTTACTATACCACACTGATTCCAGATGTGAACATTCTGGACAATTTCACTTTGTATCAAAACTTACATTCTCTGAGCATCTGTCCATGTGTTGAGTCATCCTCTATCTTGCTTTAGCAACTGACCAGTTTTTCCCATTCCAACTGTGTCTCACTGTTGTGTTCAGAACTTCAGAAAGGCCTGGATTGTTTTTTCTCCCTCTAAAGTATAGGTCTGATCTAGTCCATCTGTGTGTACGCTTTAAGTATAGCCCTGCTGCCCCCCAATGGAAAGGAGCAGAGCAGCTGAATCAGAGCACTGGAGAGAAGGCTTGTGAACCTGCAAGATCTTTAAATCTTAGGCTTGTTTCCCCAGTTGTAGGACGTATTTAATAGTATTTATACTTTATTCAACTATTGGGAAGATTTAAAAAATATATAAACATCAGGTACATAGTAACCACTCAATAACCAGTACATTTTAGACTGTTTTAAAGCTGCTTCTATGAGGTCTAAGGTTAAAGTATCAATTATTCAAGTAAGTTCTATATTGGTCGAGTCAAAATTAATCTTTCCCTTACTTATACATTGATAGCACTGGGTTTGGAGCTCCACTATAGAATTCAATACTACAATATATTTAATTGTTCATATACAGATCTCTAATAGATTTGAGAGCAGGGGATTAGGTTTTGTTTGCATCCTGTACAAGATCTTTAACACAAGAGGTTCAAATCATGTGTTTATAATATAGCTCTTATGCTTTGGACTTTTTTCTTTAAAGGATCACAGAAAACTAGTCAGATTAATCTACCTAAAATAAGCTAAAATCTGAAAGCTCTAAATATTTACCAAAGTGAAATCTCAGTGTAATAATCTACCATTACCCTGAATCTAAAAGACATTTTTGTTGAAGCATGTATTTTCATGCAAATAATCTGTTCTCTTTTAGATGGAACACAGATGAAATCTTTTAATAAATCATTTCTCTAAGTTAAACATATGGTTTCATAAGTATAAACATTTTATTTCAGTTAAAGGTAGAGAAATACAAAATAAGAAGTTTTAATAATTATAAAGTAGAGACAATGAAAAATCCCACACTATTCATTTTTAGACCTTTAAAATCTTGAACATTGTTTTGATGGATTTTTATGTAAACCAGGAATTTACACAACACTAGTATCTTGGCAATTCACTTTTTCTCAATGCTATATAACCCAGTAGCCATATATTAAAGTCTCAATTTCTTCAAAGTGTTACCACTAGAACATTGAGTTATAGAGCAATTTAAAAAAGACTATACAAACTAAATTGTAATGTCTTTAATGTCTCCAATTACTACTTTAAAAAATAAAAACTGCAATAGTGAACTTACCTCAGTTCTTTCTACATGATTCAATGAGATAGGTATCTAACCTCAACAACCTTCATTCTTAAGTATGAGCATCTTCATGCTAATTAGAATTAGCTTTATTCTTTAATAACATCTGGGCAATAATAAACATTTAAAATAATAAATAATGCAAAATTAAAATTAGTTATGGTAACAATTAATTTGGTAATCAGTTGCCCAAGATGTATAGTGGAGTCAACACAGGCAGGTTTAACTTATAACATGCTCTGCAAAAAAGGGAAACATAATGTAAATATTTCAGGGTATCAAACTAGCCTAACATTCCACTCAATGAATCTTTGCCACTCAGTTTGCCCATCTCGTCTTAGTTCCTTTATCCTTTTATCAAAGGCATCTCACAGTGATGACTGAGTCTAAATTTTAATCATATGCACTTTGTATACAAAATGGCCCCTATATGCAAGCCAACTCTATATATACACAAAACCATGTAAACAATACTTCTAGGTGATTTAGGTAATTCTGACTACATACGATTCTCACCAAATGCCCTGACAAGCACCAGATTCTACTGCAACATGTTTTTAGAGATTTAATTCCATTCTGATTGTTGTGTTTACTGTCCTGAAGATCTGTGTCCTCATTGAAGAGTTGATGTTTGGTAAATATAAAATCCAGTAATTTTTGAGATTTCTCCATCACTGAAGTTGTGTTATCTTGACGGGGATAATACTATTAAAGTCCAAGAAAAAAGGTCCTTCTTGTTTAGGCAAGAAAGTACTGGGAATGATATTAAAGATCCCAGCAGGTATATTGTCTAATTCCAGGTAGCAAAACCCACACCTGTATTCAGGGAAAATAAGAATGAGGTTTATAGAAGATAATGTCACAAAAAGTAAAATATAAATTAGATACAATCAAAATGCCAACATTACCGATAGTCACCACTAGATTTCCTTGGAAAGCCATGGGGACCAGGATCTCCCACCACAGAAACTGTTACAACCTCAAATCCAACACTGTATTGCCTAGCATTTAAAATAAACAGAATTACTGTATTATTAAATAGTCTCAAATACATGATTTTAAATAACTGTCTAAAGACCAGATGTATTATTAAGTATATGTTTCTGAAGCTTCAGTAGTGAAAAACAGTACCCTGAAACACATGCATTCTATTTTTACTCTCAAACAAAATACCATTTATATATTTTAATTGAAAGCATAAAGATTAACATTATATTAAACTTACTTAAAAAAAAAGACTTAACTGAAGGCTCTCTTCTGGGAATAATTTAAAAGATAAATATTGTCACTTAAGTTTAAAAGTTAAAATATAGACCTTGATGGTGTGTGTGAAGAAAGAAAAAAAAAAAGAAAATAATAAATATATTTTCAAAGAAATGGAAAAAAAAAAAGTTAAAATATTGTCATTGTAATAGGCAGAAAAGCCCATAGAATAGGAAAACAAGCCCTGAAATAAAATCTAAATTTAGAGAAGTAGTTAGCATGATAGACATGACATTCTAAATCAGTAAGGAAAAATTCATTTAGATGGTGATGAGGTGACAAAAAGTTTTGAAACTACTGTTAAATCGTATTACACACAAAATGTAAAAATATATTCATGAACTAAAAAAATACAATGTAAAAAAATTAAACCATAAAGGAAGAAGAAAATATGGTAAAAATTTATTTAATAATGGGTGAGATTTCCTATCCACAGCAAAAAGCAGCCAGAAAAGACAGATTTGATTACTTTAAAATGAAATCTTTTTATTTGTGGGGAAAAAAACGACAATCTAGGGAAAATATTTGCAAATATATGGAGGATTTAGTATCTTTAACTTATTCATGCTTACAGTTAAAAAAAAAATGACAACAGAAAAATGGGCAAAAACAATAATAGGTAATAAATACATGAAAAAAATACTGCCAGTAAACATTTTTACATGTTCAATTTATCTAAAAATTAAGTACAAACGAGCAATTAGATACCTACTTTACCTATCAAATTAGCTGAGGTTTTAAAAATGACCTTGTGGAAAAATAGCTTAATCATACCTAAATATCTAAAGGATTAATTGCCTTTGAATTAGTTTGTAAGGCAAACAAAATTAGTTTGTAAGGTGAGCCTAATCTTATTTAGAAGGTAATACTATTTTTATTTTATTCTCTGTATTTTTAAAACCTTTTAAATTATAAAATGCAACACAAAGTAAATAAAACATATATAATATATAAACAAATAATTGGTAAAGTGAATAAACACCTGGGTAACCACCACTCAGATCAAGCCCTCTCAGCACCACAGAAGTCTCTTGTATACTCCTTTCTGATTGCAAATCCTGTCTCCCACAGAGCTTTACGGTAATCACTTTCTTGATTTGTTTTATAGTCTTTTACCCCTAGTGTGTATCCTTAAACACCATTTGTTTAGTTTTGCCTGTTCTTGACTTCAAAGAAATAGAATCACACATTCCGTATGTATGGCTTTTGCTCAGCATTATTTTTTTTTTAAGAGATGGGGTCTTGCTCTGTTGCCTGGGCTGGAATGCAGTGGCATGATCATAGCTCACTGCAGCCTTGAACTCCTGGGTTCAAACAATCCTCCCAACTCAGCCTCCTAAGGAGCTGGGACTACAGTCATGTGCCACCATACTCGGCTAATTTTTATTATTTTTTGTAAAGATGGGGTCATGATATGTTGCCTATGCTTGTCTCAAACTCCTGGCTGGTCAAGTGATCCTCCTGCCTTGGCCTCCCAAAGTGCTAGGATTATAGGCATGAATCTCTGCGCCCAGCCTCAGCACTGTTTTTAAGATTCAACCACTGGCCAGGAACGGTGGCTCACGCCTGTAATCCTAGCACTCTGGGAGGCCAAGATGGGCAGATTGTTTGAGCTCAGGAGTTCGAAACCAGCCCGAACAAGAGCGAGACCCCATCTCTACCAAAAATAGAAAAAATTAGCTGGGCATGGTGGCTGAGGCAGAAGGGTCGCTTGAGCCCAGGAGTTTGAGGTTGCTGTGAATTAGGGCTGACGCCACGGCACTCTATCCAGGACAAGAGAGACACTGTCTTGAAAAAAAAGACTCATCCGTCATATTGTGTGTAGCTGTAATTTGTTTGTTTTCATTGTTATACTCATACTCTATTATATAAATGTACTCTATTATATGACTATATCATAATCTTAACCACTTCATCAGCTGTGAAACCTCGCCCACAGCCGGCACGATAGTTTGTGCTGTGCATTAACGATGAATCCATTTTGCTCTTGTGTGATGAGGAAAGCTTTAAAGCACTGAAAGCTTGTTTTACTTTACAGGCAGCTTTTACTTGTAAATCAGAATAGGTAACATATACATATATGTTTTTATTATGTTATTTTTATTTATTTATTTTTTTAGTATGGCTTTAATATTAAAAAATCACTTTCATAAACATTTTCTATTTTTCTATGTTATTTTTAAATGTTCACAATTTTATTTTGATAAATGAAAATTAGAAAAGTCATATCACGGCTCTCGGCTAAAGTCAACACTCGGCTGTCTGTGTTCATCTGTGGCTATCAACTATAGTCAATGCTTGTACCGAAGTGGTTAAATGTCATCGATAAACACTTCTGGCTATTACAATGGTTTGCTGGCCATTTGGATTATCTCTTTTAGGACATGTTTTTATTAAATAAAAACTGGAGACTTTTTATTAATATTGCATATTTACAAATCTTTTGATGTGCTCTTTGTCTCAAGAAATCTTTTCTTCTCCTGAGGTTATTAAGACATCTCCTGTATTATCTTCTAAAAGCTGTACTGCTTTGTCTTTCACTTCCAGGTTTTTAATACACCTGGAATAGATTTTTAGACTTGATGTGAGATAGGGGTCTAATTACTATTTTTTTAATTACTATTTTTTACACATACTCAATTATCTGTCTCATTTATTTAACACTGTCCTTTCCTCATTCTTCTACGATGTCATCATTATAAATTAAATGTACATATATATACTTAGATCTATTTCTAAACTTTATTCTATTTCAATATGTCCATTTTAAATATAACATCATTAATTTAAGAAAGTTACTCATCACAAACCTTGGCCCTCGTAGCTCAATCAGTAATGGCCCAGTTTTTTCTATATGGAATTGGTAGATGGGATTATTTCTGTGAGTCTCTTGGAAATTTCCACATCCTCCAGCACTCTGACCACTCCACTTTCCATTAATCTAATAGAAAAATTTTTGCATTAACAAAATTTCATTCTCTAATTCCACTTCAAAGCAAAATTCCTTTCTACCTTAAAAAAAACAAACAAAACAAAAACCCCGATTTTCCACTCTTGGCTCCACCCCATCTTCCCATTTTTTATTTGCCATGGACAGTCAATGAAACTCACCAACTCTTCATTTCAGCCAGGCTGCTTTGCTCCACTAAGCCCTATTTCCACCTCTCAGCCTTTAATCAAGTTGCTATTCTTACTAGAAATTCTCCTTAAAATCTTCCTCTACACATCTAACCCACTCTTGCAAAGTTAGTCTCAAATTCTACTTTCAAGGTTCATCCACGTGGCTTTTTCTAACAACCAAAGTTTGCACTAATATTCTTTCTCTGAATTTGTTTCTTTCCACAGAATCACTTATCATTGCTCACTGAAGATCTTGAATTTCAACCTAGACTGGAGGCCACACACATTTCCCTTATATCCCTATCAATCTCAGGTTATTTCACAATAAATTGTTAAATGTGAAGAATAAAATGAAAAGAGAAAAGAAAGTCTAAAGAATGCTGATATAATGACCCAGAGAAAGAATTTTCTCACCCGTTTTGATAAGGTGTATGGTGAAGGAATCTTCGAAAAAGTAAAGCTGCATGCTGAATACACCTAGATTAAAGAAAAATGATTGTACCGATAAATATTATACTTACAAAGACAACGTAATAGAAGAATATACTGGAAGACTGAAAAATCAGTTGGCATATACAAGTCATTATTCTATAGTCAGCCTGGTATCAAGTCAGGTTTAATGAGCTGGGAACTGCGAAGCTAGGGATCTTGTGGCTTTTCAGTCACTAACTGTATGACTCAGGACAAATCACAATCTTTTCATGCCTTGGCTCCTGCATCTGAAGAATGAAGGGGTGCCAGCAGCTCCCAATGTCCCTTTCATCACTAAAAACCTATTCAATTTAAGCTTCTTTACTTATCTATGGCAAACAAATCTATGCAGAACAAAATTACAATCACCTTTCCAGCTCCATGACAGCAGTATGTTTCTAGGTGATTGATTCTCTTTTACTAAGTTCAAAGTCGTCTTTCAACAAGTAAGCTAAAATTTTTACTGTCTGCTGCAAAATTAAATTTATTAGTCCAATATACTATATTACCTCAGGACTAAACTATTACTGTGAAAATTAAAATGATCACTCAAAATAAAAACATTTTTTAAAAGCATATTTTCTATAGGAAGCATCATAATAATATTAATATATAAACACAAAAGTAGAGAACAATGAATTTTCAGAAATAAACCTTTTTCTTTTTTCTTGCCAGTAGCTGGACATCAGGAAGGGGGTTGACCAAGAAGCAGAAATAAACTTTTTCTCCACATAATCCCACTACAAAGCAGATTACATAATTTATATTACTGTGTTTTGTCATTATGTTGGTTTTACTTACCCGGACTGTGTAATGAATTGTGTTCTGTTTTTCATACTGAGACACCACTAATGTAAAGGTATGGGTTCCAGGTGTGGTCAGCTTTATCTTAGTCAAATAATGAGGGCTGTTAATTCGAATCCCATCAATGTATGGAGGTGGGTCAGCTGCAAACAACAAGGTGGTTTACAAAAAGAGACTTTTCTTCCTTTAGCTTCTGAAATTTTATGGTTGAGGGTAGGAAAAATAATTAAATGGATGGACATCCCCTTAACTGATTCTGTCTTTAAAATATAATGATATTAGTGAACTATAATTTCAAATTAAGGTGAAAATTTTAAAAAAGATACAAAATACATAAAAATAAGTCTGTATTTCCCACCACTCAGGATTAACATTAAAAAAAAAAAATCATACCAAGAGACTAGCTTTTCATAAAACAAAGTCCCTTTTATCCATCCACCTTTATCTTATTCCCTTTTACTGATGGATCAGGTCGGCATTTTTTTAGACTTTAATACACATACACTCCCTTCCTCCTAAAAAAGCATGAACAAATGTTTTCTGTGTATGTATCTAAAAAAGGATATGTCTTGTATCTTTCATTTTTCACTCAACATTTTAAAAGATCTATGCGGTAAAGATCTAAACTATCTATGTAGTTTATTCCTTTTAACTGCCTGTATAATATTCTCTCACATGAATGACATTTAACTATAAACCTGGAAGTATTCTGAAAAGGCAAAATCGCTATCCATAAAAGAGAGCATTGTTAAAAAAAATCCAAGTTAAAAGAATAACAAACATACTTGAAATTTAAAAGCCATATAACATTTTAATGTTAGGAATATATTTGTGCTTTTTTAGTTTTATAGTGACCAACATATGAAAAATGGAAAATATGGCTAGTTTGATATTTGTCACTACTATGTACCATGCCCATCCCAGAACCTACTAATATAAACTGGCTTGCCCTCAACAAAGGGTGATGGGGAAGAAAGACATAATTTCCTATGATTAAACAAAATATGATTTTATTTTGGTCCCATCTTCCCCACCACTGCCCATTTCTTTGCATAGCCGCCTTGAAACAATTATCAGTAATTGCTTCCTTAACTTATATCACAGTCTCTTTTTAAACCAATCCAATTGTGTTTCTAGCCCAACCTCTCCACCAAGCCTGTTCTTGTCAAGGTCAGTATAACTGCCAGGATGCTAAGTCCAACAGTCTCTTCTCTAATCTCATTTGACCTCTCAAAATAGCAATAGATGCAACTGTCCATTCTTCTGCTCTTGAAATACTTTCTTTGCTTGGGTTATGTGAAACCTCACTTTATTTCATCAGGCGCTCTGTTCAAATTCCTTTGTGGCACCTTGTCCTCTGCTCAATCTCAAGCTGTCTGAGAGTCCAAGGGTCAGGTCCTAGGTATTCATCTGTGTACCTAAAACTCTCTCCATAGGTGATTTATACAGTTCTGTCTTTAAATGCCATCTATATGTTCCTGACTCCTCAATCTGTACCTCTAACCTTACCCTAGAACTACTAAAAAATCCACGTGCCAAGTTGGCATCTTTACTTGAATATATCAAATAGATATCACAAATTTAGCAAACCAAAAATTAATTTTTGATTTTACTCCACAATAGATCTGCTCCCTCTCCTCTCCCCACCAATTCTTGCCCATCTCAGTAAAGGTACACCTTTCTATTGCTCACGTCTAAAAAACCAGAAGTCGTCCTTGATTCCCACCCCCCTCAGTTAAGTCCTGACAATTAAGGACTTCAACTCAATTAAGTCCTGACAATCCTACTGAAACCAAAATCTGTCCACTCCTACTGCCCCAAATTCAAATCACCATCATTGCTTACATAAATAAAACTGCTTAATTGGTTTCTTTGTTTCCAGTTCTGGCCCTCTCCAATATAAACTTAAAAGAACAAAAATGTTCTTTAAAAACATCAGATCATGTCATTTTCCTAATTAAGATCTGCCAAAGACCCCCAAACCTTTTCCTGTGGCTTAGTAAGAACCTCATGTGATCTGACCTCTGTATACCTTTCTGACCTACCCAGGCAAACTGGCCTTTTCTCCATTCCCAAAGCACACCAATCTTTTCTCACTGTAGGGCCCTTGCACTCACTGTTCCCTCTGCTTGTAATGCTTTTCCCTCTACTTCTTTACACGACTGACTCCTTTTTGTCATGTACAGTTCCTCTTACCCCTTCTCCATGACCACCCAATCAAAGCAACCAACTAGTCACTAACACATGACCTTATTCTACCTCTTTACACACACGTATCACTACTTGATATGTTTCTTGCTTATCTCCTCCCTAACTAGAACATAAAGTCCATGAAAGCAGAGTCCTGTTTTGTTCACCACTGTTCCCTTTGGCCTTAAAACAGTTCCTATCACTAAGAGATAATTTTTTTTTCTTTTGATGTGAAAGCAAAGTGGTTTCAATATAATGTGTAAAATGCCTCAGAAGCCCTGTGGAGGGAAAGATTGATTTTGCCTGGCAAATTGGAAAGGTTATCACTGAGGAGATGACATTTAAGGCTAAATCTTAACCACGTTCACTAAGCAGAATAGGGTCTGTGGGTAAAGGGCACGGAGAGCGTGTCTTGACAGAGGAAATGGTGTGAAAAGAGGGGCAACAAGGGCCTGGCTAGCAAGTAATTCAGTGACGGTACTATGAAAAGCTGAGGTGTGAAATAAAGGGGGCAGGTGGATGAAGGCCAGCATATAAAAGGCCTTATTATACCACGCTGAAGAGCTCAGATTTTATACTAGAGCCCACAAAAACCACAGAATATTTTTGAGCACAGAAAAGGCATGATTTAAGTTTCAGAACTAAAATTCTGACATCAATGTGCAAGAATGTGGAAATACCAAATTCCCGGAGTCTCTAATGACAAATCAAAACAAGACAAAGAGCAACATAAATATCCACCCAATCTGTTTGAGTGGTTTCTATTAGTCTGTCAACATAATTGTTAATTTCTGCATAATATTTACATAAAATTTGTCATTTTTCAACTTAGTCATGTAAATAAAATTTTAATGTATGTTTAATATTTTCTTGACTACTACACATACCTGGGTAATAAACTTTTTTCCCATCAGTCTTGTATACAACCATTGTGATAAATTCTCGATTATTTGCAAAATCATCCTAAAATCACAAAGAATCCAATGTGGTTAGAAAAGTGAGCTCAAAATGCTCTTTATTTAATGTTTAAAAAAATCCTCTAATTTTAAGAGTATTTTTTCCCAGCTATTTATTGCTATAAAAACATTGTTTTTCTGAATTAAATTGTCATTTCAATAGATGACCAAACTGTATGAAGTAATACATTAAGTAAAATTCTGAAACTATTGAGATTATGGTTAGCTTTTACAAAATCAAGACTAATGACTTAACATTTCCAAATTCTCTTCAGGATATTTTAAGTTCTAAAGTATATATAATCAATCCCCAAACTTTCACTAAAACACATAAACTCCCTCACATTTCTCTTTAGAGATTACTTTTGAACAATATTTTAAGTGTATGATTATAAATCCTGGAGGAAAATATACATTTGTCTGAGAAAACACTATTTTCCGAGTACCTATATAAATTAAACAGGTTGGTGATCAAATCAAATGTTTCACAATGGTCTAACTGTATTAAAAAAAATTTCTGTACAGGATATCATTAGAAGGTTATCAGTACCTTGTCTGTTATGTGTCTACTAAGCAAAACCCAAACTGCAGCGCCCCCTTGTGGACACTGAACCTCCAGTTTGTACTGGGGGTTGTTGGCCAGGCTATAGGCATCTTTCACAGGTCCTTGCTTAGCATCCCAAGTACTAAAAGATAAAGTCAACAAAGAAGAAGATGGTAATTAAATTTCTTATAGAGTTAAAATATAACACTATTTTAAAAAGTGTTTTACTTCAACTACAATTAAACTATCAGATTTTTTTGGTTTGGTTTTATTGTTCTTAAAATTTTTGGCATCACCAAGTAGAAAGAAAACTATTATAAGACAGTAACCATGACAAAAAGAGGGAATATTAGTCTTCCTAAATTAGCCATTACAGTTTAAAAAGAAAAAAGTGGAGAACACTATAAACTATGCTCTGAAATGCAAAAAGTTACCTGTGAATACATGTTGATTCTTTAAAAAGACCAGGATTCCAACTCAAATAAATCACATCATAATACTGGCAGAGATCATCCCAGGAAATCCAAAATATTCCTAAAAAATAATATTTTTGTTACTCTAAAAAAATACTTGATGATAAATGACTTAAATCAGTTAAATACATTTCATCTTATTAAAACATTTTATTTGAAGACATACGGTATTAAAATTTAAAAGATTTATTTACCATTGTCTATTTTCTGAGCTGTTCGGGGATCAAAGTTTAAATACTTTTGCAACTCTGGAGTCCAGTTTTTTACATCATTTTCACTGTATCTTCCTTTCCAACGTAAATGACTCCAAGGATTTTTCAATTGGATAAATCGCAGCCCCTGTTATCAAAAACAGGAGAAAACATTAAGTTGCCAAAAAAATTTTATTAGTTACACCATTCTATTATTAGAGAGGATGACTTTTGAGTACTTATCAATTTTCTTCCCTTCAAATCAACCTGAAATACTTTAACACTTTTCACCAAGTCGTATGTCTGATCAAAAACTGTATATAGCTATCTACTCCCTAGAGCTATGCTGTCCAACAGAGTAGTCACTAACCACATATAGTTAAATTAAAATTAAATAAAATTTAAAAGTCAGCTCCTTAGACCCACTAGTCACATTTATTTAAACATTTTTTTTTTAAAATTTTTAACATTAGCCGCATTTGGAGTGTTCAATGATCACTTAGCTAATAGCTAATGCACTGGACAGCACAGATACAAAATGTTTCCATCATCACAGGAAGTTCTCTTATTGCTGCCTTAGAGCATCAAGTATTCACTGTCTTTTCAAACCTCACTCTATTCTGGCCCCTCTTTATATTTTCAGTACTCACATCCCATATATCTCTGGCTATAATCTAGGCTTTCATAATCTCATAAAATCTGTATTCAATTTTGCTTCTAAAAGCATTTGTTCATGATGTTCCCTTTTCCTAGAAGGCCCTCTTTGATCCCTTTTAGCTATCCTTTCTTCTCTCAGTAACATCAACACAGATCACTTGGGTCTTAGTGGGTAGCTCAGCTCCACCACCACTACTGCCACTTCCCACATCACACCAACTTAGGGGCACACACCTGGCCCTCTGCTTCAACTACTAGCTTCTGAGCAAGCCACCTGAAGGCCCAAGAACTGGCCCCTTAGGGCGCACGAGCACTGCTGCCAGTGTGAAGTTGCTCTGGCACCATCAGTCTTGGAAAAAATAAAAAAATTCAACTCAGGATATGAACGAGAAATTTACCAAGGAGATAGATACCATGAAAAAAAAAACAAAAAACCAAAAACCAGAAATTCTGGAGCTGAAAAATTAATTGAAGGAAATACAAAATCACATTCGAAAGCTTCAATAATAGACTAGATTGAACAGAAGCAGAACTTGAAAACATTTCTGCTTTGTCTGACTGGATTACACGTCAAAATCTAGTCAGAAAAAAATAAGAATTAAAAAAATGAACAAAGCATTTGAAAGCGACTACATTTATGAATGTAGACTATATTTATGAAAGCGACTACATAAAGCGACTAAATTTATGAATTACTGGTATTCCCTGAGGGTTGAGAAAGACCAAAAGGTTTAGAAAACCTATTTAAGGAAATAATTGAAGAAAACATCCCAGAACTATGAAGAGAGTTAGACATTCAGATACAAAAGGCTCAATAAGCTCCTGGCAAAACACTGCAAAAATGACTTCACCACAGTATAATATAATCAGAATAATTAAAGTCAAAGTGAAAGAATTTTAAAATTAGCAAGAGAAAAGTATCTGAGGTTGCAGTAAGCTATGAAGACATCATTGCACTCTAGACTGGGCAATAGAGTGAAACTCTGTCTCCAAACAAACAAGCAACAACAACAACAAAAAAAAAAAAGAAGAAGAAAATAAAAGTAGAAAAGATCACAAATTAATAACCTAACATTGTACCTCAAAGAACTAGAAATATAAAAGCACACCAAATACAGAGTTAGAAGAATAGAAATAACAAAGATCAGAGCAGAACTACTGTGTTTCCCTGATAAGACCTACCTGTAAAATAAGCCCTACCAGGATCTCTAAGCATTTGCGCAATATAAGCCCTACACCGAAAATAAGACCTACTGATGGGTGTGGCTATGCAGCATATTTGCACAACCCATGCATTTCGTGTGGAGCGGTAAAGAAGATGAGCAGCCCTTCTCATCTGCCCCATGAGAGCTCTATTGCTCGACATGAGAGATCGGGGCCAATGGTTCCAAAGGAAATAGAGTTGCAAGAAATTCAGGATGGAATTCAGGGTTTGGAGAGTTATGATGATGTTCCAGAAGATGACAACTTAATTATGTTTGAATAAATGTAGATTGTTGTACCGTACTTAAGAAAATAAGCCCTAGGGTGTCTTCTTGAGGAATAATAAATATAAGACCCTGTCTTATTTCTGGGGAAACATGGTAAATGAAACAGAGCAAAAAAATACCACAAACTATCAACAAAATGAAAAGTTAGTTCTTTGAAAAGACAAATGAAATCGATAAACCGCTAACTAGACTAACCAAGGAAAGAAGAGAGCGAAAATCCAAATAAACACAATCTGAAATGAAAAGGGAGACATTACCAACTGACACTGTGCAAATACAAAAGATCATCAGACTATTATGAACTACTATATGCTCACAACCTAGAAAACCTAGAGGAAATGGATGAACTGCTGAAAACATAACAACCTCCCGAACTTTAACCAGGAAGAAACAGACCCTGAACAGACCAATAATGAGTACCAAGATTGAATCAGTCATAAAAAATCTCCCCAAAACAAAAAAGTCCAGGTCAAGATGGATTCTCAGTTGCCAAATTCTACCAGATATACAAAGAATTGGTGCCAATCCTGCTGAAACCATTCCAAAAGATAGAGGAGGAGGGAATCCTCCCTAACCCACTCTACAAAGCCAGTATCACCTTGATACGAAAGCAAAAGGTGCAACAAAAAAACAAGATCACAGAGCACTATCTCTGATGAACACAGATGCAAAATCTTCAACAAAATACTAGCAAACAGAATCCAACAGCATATGAAAGGATCATTCACCATAATCAAATGAATTTTATCCCAGGGATGCAAGGATTGTTCAACAGATGCAAGTAGATAAATGTCATTGAACACATAAACTAGAATTAAAAAAAAATAAAAACAATCATTTCAATAGATACAAAAAAAGCACTTGATAAAATCCAGTATCCCCCTTCATGATAAACACTCTAAAAAAACTCAGCAAAGAAGGGGACGTACCTCAGAATAATAATAAAAGCCATATATGACAAATCCACAGCCAACATCATACTGAATGGGTAAAAGTTGAAAGCAATCCCCCTGAGAATGGAAACAAGAAAAGGATGCCCACTTTCACCCCTTCTGTTCAACATAGTACTGGAAGTCCTAGCCAGAGCAATCAGACAACAGAAAGAAATAAGGGGCACCCTAAATGGAAAACAGGAAGTCAAATTATCTGTTGACATTATACAAAGAAAACCTAAAGACTCTGCCAAAAGACTCTTAGATTTGATAAGTGAATTCAGCAAAGTGTCAGGATATAAAATCAATATATAAAAACCAATAGTATTTCTATATACCACCAACAACTAAGCTGAGAACCAAATCAAAAACTAAATCCCATTTGCAATAGCTGTAAAAAATAGTAATAAAATAAAATAAAATACCTAGGAATAAATTTAACCAAGGAGGTGAAAGATCTCTAAAAGGAGAACTACAAATCACTGATAAAAGAAATCACAGATGACACAAACAAAAGGAAAACTATCCCATGCTCATGGACTGGAAGCATCAATAATTTTCTTTTTAATTTTTTTTTATAATCCTAAGTCTTTTGCAAGAAGAATCAATATTATTAAAATGACCACACTGCCCAATGCAATCTACAGATTCAGTGTAATTCCTATCCAAATACCAACATCATTTTTCACAGAATTAGACAAAAAATTATAAAATTAATATGGAACAAAAAAAAAAACACTTCACAGCCAAAGTAACCCTAAGCAAAAACAACAAAGCAGGAGAGGCAATGGCCTGACTTCAAATTATACTACAAGGCTGTAATAACCAAAACAGTGTGGTACTGGTATAAAAATAGACACACAGAAGAGAGGAACCACACATTTGCAGCCAACTGATCTTTGACAAAGTCAACAAGAACATACACTGTGGAAAGGGCACCCTTTTTAATAAATGGTGCTGGGAAAACTGCATAGCCATATACAGAAGAATGAAACTGGATTCCTATCTCTCACCATATGAAAGAATTAACTCAAGATGAATTAAAGACTTAAATATAAGACCTGAAACAATAAAAATCTTACAAGAAAACACAGGAAAAACTCTTCTGGACACTGAAGACAAAGAATTTATGACTAAGACTCCAAAAGCAAATGTAAGAAAACCAACAGACAAATGGGACTTAATTAAACTGAAAAGTTTCTGCACAACAAAAGAAATAATCAGAAGAGTAAACAGACAACCTATAGAACAGGAGAAAATATCTGCAAACTATGTGTTGACTAAGGACTAATATCCAGAATCTACAAGAAAAAAGCAAGCCCCCTGAAAAGTGGACAAATGACATGAACAGGCATTTTCAAAAGAAGGTATATAAATGGCCAATAAACATGAAAAATGTGTGCATTTGTGTTTTAGTTTTGAACAAAAAAGTTTCAAATGTAAAAAAAAATGTTTTAATAGAAAAAAGCTGATGCAGCAGTAAGGATATAAGGAAACTATTTCTGTACAGTTCTACAATGCGTTTGTATTTTCAGCTAGGTGTTATTACAAAAGAGTCAAAAAGTTAAAAAAAAAAGTGAAAAATTACACTAGGCTAAGATTCATTTATTTTTGAAGAAATTTTTTTTTATAAATTTAGGGTAGCCTAAGTATATAGTACTTATAAAGTCTACAGTAATGTCCTTGACCTTCACATTCACTCACCACTCACTCACTTACTTACTTGGAAGAACAACTTCCAAGCCTGCAAGCTCCACTCATGATAAGTGCCCTATTCAAGTATAGCACTTTTATCTTTTATACTACATTTTTACTGTATCTTTTCTATGTTTAGATAACAAATATCACTGTGTTACAAGTGCCTACAGTATTTAGTACAGTAACATGATGTACAGATTTTTATCCTAGAAGTAATAGGCTATACCATAGAGCTTAGGTGTGTAGTAGGCTATGCCATTTAGGTTTTTGTAAGTATACTCTATGATGTTCACACAATGATGAAATCACCTAAAGATGCATTTCTCAGAATATATCCCTGTCATTAAACAATGCATGGCTGTAAATCCACGTGCCACATAAGAAAACCAGTCTAATGAACACAGAGTGGTACTCAGTTATTATTAACTGATCTCTACTACTTTCTATTGTTTCTATTACTAAGGAAGAGTCTTTCCTTAATAATCTTTGTGCTTTATAATCCATAGAATCAAATTTTCAGTTAAAAATAACTAACGAAAACCTGAGAAGTAATGAAGTCAAATATTCTCTTAGGTTATGAATTATAGAATGTCTGATTTCCTCAAGTAGTAGGTTTGACAGTTGACATCTCTGACATTTCACTTCGACACTTCCCATTTTATTTATTCTGAAGGTACATCTTCATTCTTTCAAATGCATTTTGGCTTGTGATTATCTTTCAAATATATTTTTTAGAGCAATTTTTGTGAAACCATGGATAAGTCAAAAATTCATATTATTTTTAAATATGATTCTGTTGCAAATCCATCTCAATCTACGCATGAATTAGCAGCAAGGCCTGACATTACTAATCCAACAAGACTGGACCATCTGAAACAAATCGGCAAGGTAAAGAAGCTGGATAGATGAGTTCTGCCTGAATTAAATGGCCATCAGAAGAGAAACTGTCTCAAAGCTTGCCTTTCTTTGCAGTCACAACATAAAGGCAAACCATTTCTACACTGTATTGTTACGTGTGATGAAAAATGGATTATTTTTGATAACCCCAAGTGAGCAGCACAATGGTTGCATAAAGATGAAGTGCCAAAACACAGTCTAAAACCGAATATTCATCCAAAAAAGCTAATGGTGTCTGCTTGGTGGTCCAGCACTGGCATTATTCACTATAGCTTCATGAAACATGGTCAATTGATTACAGTAGATGTCTACTGCAACCTATTTGACAAAATGATGAGGCTGCTTGTGATTAAGCAGCCAAAATTGGTCAGTAGAGACAGGCCAATCCTCTTGCAAGACTACATGTCACAAAAAACAATGCTGCCCAAACTACAGAAGCTAGACTTGGAAACTGTCATCTGTTGTATGACTGTCATCTTGAAACTTGTCATCTGTTGTACCAGACCTTGCACCAACTGACTACCACTTCTTCCAAGCTTTGGAACACTTCTTGCAAAGAAAAATATTTGATTTTCAACAAGCTGTGGAAAACATCTTTCATGATTTCATTGCCACTCACTCTCTAGGCTTTGCTGCTGGCCTAAGGCAAGCTACCATTAAGATGGCCAAACTGTGTTAATAATTTAGGCACATACTTTGATTAATTGTACTGCTTCTTATTAGAGATATAATCAACTAAACTTTTGATTTAAAATCGGACATTTCATATTTAATGACCGAATAACATCTGAGCCCAGGTATTGCAAAGAAAGGGTCTGAAAGGCCTGATAGTATGCAAGGGCTTAAAGAGAAATACTTGCTCACACAAACCGAATAATTTGCAGATGTCTTATACCTAGCTACTTTCCTGTATTTCCCCCTTTCACAAATATTACGCAGTATCTACTATGCCCTAGAGCTTAACACTGTGTGATTGACCTCAGTACTAACATGTAGCCTAGAACCTTGAGGGCTGTGTATTCACCTCAAAACTGCTATTTATAGAAAAGAAAAAGAGATGAACAGCACTTCTATTCTGTAATAAATATCTGTGCAATCACTATGATTTCATTTCCCACTTTTTAAGTTCATAATCTCCAATGGTAGAGGTCAGGTTGTTTAATGCAATAGGTAGATGGCTTAAAAACTCCACCTAAACCTTGATTTGTCAGTATTCAAAAGTCTGATAAATCATTTACAATCCTTGCAATGTCTAATCAAACAAGAAAAATAAGAGAAAAAGATTGAAGGCAAAACCTTGAACTCTCTAATATCCAAAACAGCATATGCATGTGTGGGAACCAAACCCCACTTCTCGCCTTCAGCTTCAGTCATCATTCCAGTTGATGCAGTGATGAGGACATCCCCTTTGTGAAATCTGGAATAACCCCAAAAGACAACTAATTAAAGGAAAACACATTTTTAATCTCACATCACACCACCTTATCTTTTAGTCTAATCATTTACATGAAAATTTCTATAAATTTAATTTTTTTTCTAAAATGGGCTATTCCTAAGATCCCTGAAGAGCTTTCAACAAGTACATTTCTGCTGGGCATAGTGGCTCACAACTGTAATCCTAGCACTTTGGGAAGCTTAGGAAGGAGGACTGTGTAAGGGCAGGATTTTGAGACTAGCCTAGGCAACATGGTGAGATCCCCATCTCAACAAAAAATAAAAAAAATTGTCCAGATGTGGTGGTGCATGCCTGTAACCCTAGCTACTTGGGAGCCTGAGTTAGGAAGATCCTTTAAGCCAAGGAGTTGGAGGTTATAATGAGCTATGACTGCACTCTGACTGTACTCCAGACTGGGTAACAAAGCAAGACCTGTCTTGAAAAAAAAAAAGAAAAAAAAAAAGTACATTTCTAAGTCGCAGCATATCAGATATACTATCACATTCCTGGCTTCTTTTCTTCCCTCCAGTTTTAGACTATTTAATTCTCAGGTAGAAATCTATCAACGAAGGAAAGCAAATGCTAAATTTTCACATGGATTACAAATAAGCATAAAGATGTGAAATACCAAATGCATTTCCCAAAAAGGAACATCATTTTATGTAGCAAATCAGAGCTTTTTAGTTTTGCTACTGAATGTGTGTATTATTTAAACAATTTTCCAGTCCCTATGTATGGATTATCCATTTGAGGCTTAAATTCTGAGACTTCTCTTTTCCCACCTTTCCTCAAATTGGTAAGTAATTAGTAAGTACAAAATACTTTTTTCGCTGGGCGTGGTGGCTCGCGCCTGTAACCCTAGCACACTGGGAGGCCGAGGCGGGCGGATTGCTCCAGGTCAGGAGTTCGAAACTAGCCCGAGCAAGAGCGAGACCCCATCTCTACTATAAATAGAAAGAAATTAATTGGCCAACTAATATATATAGAAAAAAAAACTAGCGGATGTGGCACATGCCTGTAGTCCCACTACTCGGGAGCTGAGGCAGGAGATCACTTGAGCCCAGGAGATTGAGGTTGCTGTGGAGCTAAACTGACGCCACGGACTTACTCTAGCCTGAGCAACAAGTGAGACTCTGTATAAAAAAAAAAAAAAAAATTTTTATTTTCGTCTTCCAGATTAAAATATTTGGATTATCTACCATTTGGATTAACCATAACCATCAATGGGGATAACTGAGGATGATGGTAGTAAGTACATAAAGTGAATTCTATTTTAAAACAACTGCCTCATAACAATAAAATGACAGCTTCTGCAATCTCTATTCTAAATAAGGCATGATGTTTTCAAATGGCCTCTTTTAACCATAAAGAAAGAAGGAAAAAGAATGTTTACCTTTGATAAAGCATTCTGAAAGAATTATCCTTACTGAAAGTTTGGCTATCTGAATGCATAGCAATCTTTCCGGTATCCATCCAGTCAGTGCATGAGATCAATATTCTGCTGCAGCATAAACACGTCATACTGTCAACATCATATTTAGACTTAATAAATCCCAGGGCAGCTATTAATCTCACTGATTTGGTAACATGATTTAGGTAGGAATAAATCAGAAGGTAGTTGTTTTCAGTCAGTAATAATTTCTTCTTTAACTCGAATTTTTAACTGGATTTAAACACACATTTTTTCTTTATGACCTTTGCTCTTTTCCAAATACAAGAGAATTGCTTTACCGTGAATATGATAAGAACTCAAAACGTGTAACAGAAAAACTGCTTTGATAATGACAGTCACTCACCATTTAGTGAGTTCTTACAATATAATAGTCACTTCTAATATTTCACATACATTCCCATTCTTTCTAAGCTATACTGGGTAATTACATGCAAGTGATTACAAAGCTAACTAAAGTATTTGAAGGATACAGCAACTCAAAGTGCAGGCTGCAGAAAGAAACTGTAACAGGATAGTACTTTAAACAGAGTTAAATACATCCTATTGCATTTAACCATGACCTACACATTCTTTGCCTAGCATTAAAAAAGACTGAAGCTGAAGGAGGCCTGGTATTAAGCAGGGAAACTAACCAGTTAAGAATGATGGTATTGCATACATTACTTCATCTTTACACTCTGAGAGGTTAATATTATCCATATTCTACAGACATGCAAGAGCCAAAACAGGTTAAATACCTTTTTTAACAGGCTGGGTTAGTGTCAAATTTGTCCTGCCATCTGAAAATATCTGGCTTAAGCTACGTTTACCTCATGTATAAAGGACTGACACACATCTCCATTTTACAGGTTAATTGTTAAAGTTAAACTGAATTTACAAATAAAATATACCTAAGGATGAAATATGACATATCCATTTGATCTGAATAGGCTGCTCTGGAAAGGTATACTGTTTTTAATTGGTTCTGTAACCAAATACTGTAGACAGACATTTTAGGCTTTCCTGGAATGGATTATACAGTGTACTATCTTATAAAGAATAATGTATTCATAATAAGGATCAACATTTTTCAGGAGTTTGATAACCTGTTTTTTCTAAAAGTAAAACAACATAAAGAATTTTTCAGGCCAGCACGGTGGCTCATGCCTGTATCTAGCTCTGGGAGCCAGGCAGCGGATTGCTCAAAATCAGGAGTTCGAAACCAGCCTGAGTAAGACGAGACCCTGTTCTACTAAAAATAGAAAGAAATTAATGGCCAACTAAAATATTATGAAAAATTATCTGGGCATGGTGGCGTATGCCTGTTGGTCCAGCTACTTGGAAGCTGAGGCAGAAGGATTCCTTAAGCCAGGAGTTTGAGGTTTCTTGTGAGCTACTCAGCCCAGACAAAAAAGTGAGATTCTATCTCAAAAAAAAAAAAAAAAAATTTTCAAATTTAAATAATCGTATTAAATAGTATAAGTCTGGATTCACCTAATCTTTACTTACTGAGTAGATCCTGGAATCACATCCTCCCATGACTTTCATGTATTTTTTCTATGAGAGAAACCATAATTTACTTTTGTTGTTGGAATAAGAAAAGCAATTCTCCTTATGATCAACAGGTAACTGGTCATCAATTATTACTGGAGGAGAACATAAAGATGGCATAAATAACCTTAAATCCTTTCTATCAAGGAAAACACATCTTTCATACTGATAAATAAAAGCACAGTATGTCTATTAAAGTAATGGCAAGTTCATGTTTCAGAATCGACAATTATAAAAACTGATTATTTTAATAGATGATCTTTAATCTTACAGTAATCTCACTGTCAGGTGATAAGCTTGAACCAATTGGTTAATGTCATTTAATACCACCAAATACAAGCTGGGGATCACATCATTTCAAATTCAAAAATGCTCCAAAATCCAAACTTCTTGAGAGCCAATATGATCTCAAAGAAAATGTTTCTGGAACATTCTTGATCTTTGAACAGGGATGCTCAACCTGCATGTATCTGCAACATTACAAATCCAAAACACTTCTGGACCGAAGCTTTTGGATAAGGATACTCAACATGTATAGATTCTATAGTAGAATGAATATATATTTAAATAATTAAAAGCATCTCACTATTAGGTAAACAGCATATTATTTGCTGTCATTCTAAGCCAAACCTGCAAAAGATCATGTATAGTTGTAAAAGTAAATAGCTAATAATATATTAATAATAGAGGAAATAATCACCAAAAGATATACGTTTCTAATTCATATTAAAGAGTGATTGGGAGAAATGGGATTAAGAAGAATTTTGGAGGCCAGGCGGGTGGTTCACACCTGTAACTATGCATTCTATGATGCAGAGGCAGAAGGATTGCTTGAGGTCAGGAGTTCGAGACCACACTGAGCAAGAGCGAGACCCATTCTCTGCAAAAAAAGAAATTAGCTAGCATGGGGGTGCCATGTGCCTCAGTCTAGCTACTTGGGAGGCTGAGGCAGGCATATCACTTGAGCCCAGGAGTTTGAGTTGCAGTGAGCTATGATGATGCACTGTGCTCTACACCTGGTGACAGAGTGAGACCCTGTTCAAAAAAAAAAAAAAAAAAAGATTCTGATTTAAATAATAGGAAGTTATCATAATGTGTTTTAAGATTCTTTCAATAGAGGTTAAGAATTAAGTTCATTATAGAGTACACTTGCTAAAGATAAAAGATTTAGTTTCAGAAAAATCTTTCATAATTTTGTTTAGTCTTTAAGTATAGCTTAAATATTCAAAGGGTATCCAGACAAGGCTACTGGCCACACAGGAAACTTGTTAAAAATGCAATTCTGTCCTCCAATCCTACAGAATCAGAAACTCTGGGCATGAGCAGAGTTTGTTTAATAAGCCTCCAGGTGATTCTATATACACTAATTGAGTATAGTTGTCCTTGGATACCCAAGGGAATTGGTTCTAGAACCTCTACATACCAAATGAGCATAACTCAAGTTCACAGTTGGCCTGTGAACCTGTAACATTATGAAAATACGCCTCAGTATACATGAGTTCTCACATCCGTGACTGATGTTGTTGATTGCATTGTGTATGAGTGGACCCGTGCAGTTCAAACTTGTGTTTGTTCAAGGGTCAACTGTATTATTGAGCTAATAGAGCAATGATTTTCGACGGACACCAGGGCAGCTCTTTAAAATCAGATTCTGATCCAGTAGCTGGGTAAGCATGATTCTGCAATTACAAAGCTCCTGGTGATGCTTGACCTTGATGCATGGATCTGGGATAGATAGGTGCCAGAGGAATAATAAACAAGGCCTCATAACAGAGTTCAAATCCTTAAAGATTAAAGTAGTATAATTAATTCATGATATATTTTGGCAAAGAAAACAATTTTCAGGCTTCTTACATCTCAAGTTATGACTACAATATTCTTCTGACTAACAGATTTAGTGTCTGATTTCTTTTAATCAAAAAAGGTACTAATAATTTTCAGATAAATTTATTTTAGCATTAATAATCCTAGTTCAATGATACTTATTAAAACTTTGTATAATTTTCTCAAATCATTTTTAAAAACTTAATTGTCTTGTTTTTATTTTAATCTAAATGTTACTGATAGTAATACAAACTAGAGACTCAATTCAACTAAACTGACTTTAAAATGTTTATATAGATAAGTTTCTTATGATCCACTCAAGAGTCAAAGGTGGGGAAGGCAGAGAAGAAGGGGGTAGGGGGTGGAGAGAGTATTAATTCACCTTTCTTGGCACACCATGAGGCTGAAGTTTTACCATATATTTTCCACATGGATTGTACTCTGGTTCACCATCCTTATTCTGAGGGTAAATTATGCTTTTGTAAGGAAAATAAATATTAAAATACTGACATTAGTATTTAATATCAACTACTATACAAGATATTTAGACATATGCTACTGTCTTGGCAATTTCATAAAAATAAGCAGGAGAATATTTTCCTTTAATAGGCCTAGAAAAAGAATTTTATCCCAGTCTGTGATTTACTATAAATACTTAAGTATCTTGTATTAAGGCATAAATTTCACAACATTCTGAAAAGTGCTCAATTTTTAATTACACACTTTAATAAATCATTAAGTGGATATATTTTAAGCCAGTTAAAATAATCTTTTACCACTGACCATAAGAAGTAAAGAGAAGACTACTTTAAGGCACAACTTAGTTGTGCCTAATCACAACTAAGGCAACAAGGTGCAACTCTGAAATAAGGTTACATAAAATTACATAAGATACTTATGACAACTATCAGTATCAATTTTCTTTTAAATAAATTTAGACCAAATCAAACATACTGCAAATTATTTACTTATATGGCAAATAGCGGAAACTAAGGACTGAATCTAATTCACCTTTGTACTCTCAAAGGAGTTAACACAAAAGCCACTCAGGACAAGTTGAGCAAAAAAATTATAGTGCTTAATAATTTTTACAATGAATGATTTTAAGCTATTTTTTTAAAAAACTGAAAGTAGTATCTCAGAAACATTTCAGTATGTTCTAAAGCAGTTCTAGCCAACAGAGATTATGCCATTTTATATTTTCCAGTAGCCATATTAAAAGGTAAAACCAATTTTAATAATTTAATTTAATCTAATATATCCAAAATATGATTTCAACATATAACCAACACAAAAAAGTGAGATAGTCTGCAATTTTACATTTTTTTGGTGCTAAATTTTCAAAATCTCATGTAACATTTTACACTTGTAGCCCAACTCAATTCAGAATAACTCACTTCAAGTGCTCAATTGCCACATGTGGCTAGTGGCTACCTTATTATATATATCAAGTATTATCAATATGATATGATTTTACTTTGACCAATTTCATTTATGTCAAAACATATTAATAATTCCACATACATTAACTACATGTGTATCTATGTTCTTAGACTGTTTTAGCATATTTTTCCACATTCATAAATCATCAGCTTAACCTCTACAGAAGGGTCATAATTTTCTGAGTGATATGCCCTCTCCACTTTCTACACAAATAAGGCCTAAGTTTTTAATTTCTAGTTAAGAGACAATTATATGAAGAGTTAAAGGGAAAAATATAAAATTTTACCTGGTAATCAACTTCTTATTAAATCGTCTTTCATAAGCTGCACTAATAGCCAATGATGCCACAAAGGAACAATCCGATACTATTGTCTATTAATAAGAATAATTTATTAACATGTTCATTTATTCAATTTCAACACTATCACAATATTTAAGCATTGCATCAAACACCTGACTTTGTATACTAAAATCTTGATTGTTATTTGAGTAGGAAAATAACAGAAATGCCATACTGCTGACTCATATTTTATTAAAACAAATCCTAGAAAAATTGAATAATGTATTTCAGTGAAGTTTAGAATATTTAAATAAATGTTTTTCTATCTTTTATATCCCTTATCAAAGGTGAAATTCAGATACTCAAGTTTATCATCTACAACCACCTAAAGATAAATGGGGTCTACATAAAAATCTATACTTGCTCAAAACAGTTATTCATATTTATATTATTTCAGTATGCTTCAGTCAAACTGTGCAGAGTAAATAATTTTTCCAATTATAGTCATGCATCTGAATAAAAAAATAAAAATCTAAGAAAACACCCAATCTATACTCAAATTACTTTACAATGCTAACTTTCATATAAAATTATAAAAAATAAATGTTTACCTGCTTTATGCTAAAACTAGACACAGTATATATCATTGTAGGATTGTTGGTGAGGTCTTCTGGTCGTACCCATTTGGAAAATGTAGTTTTTTGTTTAGGTGATAATGGTAGCTTGCCCCATCTATCACTGAAGTAATGATAAAAATTAAAACAATAAAATTAATCTTAAAAGATGACTCAAAGTCAAAACTGAATTGCTTAGAGATTTTTTTTTTGGTATAGTGATATTAGCTATACTTATGTTATCCTAAAATAATCCACCAATCAAATATGGCTCTTTACACTTAAATCCAGTCAACCTGATCATTTCTCCCAACTAAAAGACATACATAAATCATTGAATCAGAAGAACAATCTAAATTCATTGTATTTATATTTTCTTTAATAATTTAAAAGATTAATTTAAGATAGTTATGCTGAAATTCATGATAGAAATTCATGAATAAAATGGAGCCATTGACAATAGTACGAGCTGATTCATTCAAAAGGACCTAGGGCCGGGTGTGGTGGCTCATGCCTATAATCCTAGCACTCTGGGAGGCCAAGGCGGGCGGATTGCTTGAGGTCAGGAGTTCGAAACCAGCCTGAGCAAGACCCAGTCTCTACTAAAAATAGAAAGAAATTAATTGACCAACTAAAAAATATATATACAAAATATTAGCCGGGCATGGTGGTGCATGCCTGTAGTCCCAGCTACTTGGGAGGCTGAGGCAGGAGGATCACTTGAGCCAGGAGACTGAGGTTGCTGTGAGAAAAAAAAAAAAAATTTTCAAATTTAAATAACGTATTAAATAGTATAAGTCTGGATCATCCTATCTTATACTTACTGAGTTAGATCCTGGAACACATTCCTCCCATGACTTTCATGTATTTTTTCTATGAGGAAACCCATAATTCACTTTGTTTGTTGAATAAGACAAAGCAATTCTCCCTTATGATCAACAGGTAACTGTCATCAATTATTACCTGGAGGAGAACATAAAGATGGCATAAATACCTTAAATCTTTCTATCAAGGAAAACACATCTTTCATACTGATACAAATAAAAAGCACAGTATGTCTATTATAAGGTAATGGCAAGTTCATGTTTCAGAATCGACAATTATAAAAACTGATTATTTTAATAGTGATCTTAATCTTACAAGTAATCTCACTGTCAGGTGATAAGCTTGAACAATTGGTAATGTCATTTAACTACCACCAAACATAACAAGCTGGGTACAAATCATTCAAAAATTCAAAAATGCTCCAAAATCCAAAACTTCTTGAGAGCCAATATGATCCTCAAAGAAATGTTTACTGGAACATTCTTGATCTTTGAATCAGGGATGCTCAACCTGCATGTATTCTGCAACATTACAATCCAAAACACTTCTGGACCGAAGCATTTGATAAGGATACTCAACATGTATAGATTCTATAGTAGAAATGAATATATATATTAAATAATTAAAAGCATCTCACTATTAAGGTAAACAAAGCATATTATTTGCTGTCATTCTAGCCAAACCTGCAAAAAGATCATGTATAGTTGTAAAAGTAAAAATTATGGCTAATAATATATTAATAATAGAGGAATAATCACCAAAAGATATAGTTTCTAATTCATATTAAAGAGTGATTTGGGAGAAATGGGATTAAGAAGAATTTTGGAGGCCAGGCGGGTGGTTCACACCTGTAATATGCATTCTATGATGCAGAGGCAGAAGGATTGCTTGAGGTCAGGAGTTCGAGACCACACTGAGCAGAGCGAGACCATTCTCTGCAAAAAAAAAATTACTTGGCATGGGGGTGCATGTGCCTGCAGTCCTAGCTACTTGGGAGGCTGAGGCAGGCATATCACTTGAGCCCAGGAGTTTGAGTTGCAGTGACTATGTGATGCACTGTGCTTCTACACCTGGTGACAGAGTGAGACCCTGTTCAAAAAAAAAAAAAAAAAAAGAATTCTGATTTAAACTAATAGGAAGTTATCATCATGTGTTTTAAGATTCTTTCAATAGAGGTTACAGATTAGAGTTCATTATAGAGTACACTTGCTAAAGATAAAAGCTTAGTTCAGAAAAACTCTTTCAATAATTTTGTTTAGTCTTAAGTAATCAGCTTAAATACTCAAAGGGTAATACAGACAAGGCTACTGGCACACCAGGAAACTTGTTAAATGCAAATTCTGTCCATCCAATCGCTACAGAATCAAAACTCTGGGCATGAGCAGAGTTTGTTTAATAAGCCTCCAGGTGATTCTATATACACTAAATTGAGTTAGTTGTCCTTGGGATACCCAAGGGATTGGTTCTAGAACCCTCTACCATACCAAATCTGAGCATAACTCAAGTTCCACAGTTGGCCTGTGAACCTGTACACATTATGAAAGTTACGCCTCAATACATCGAGTTCTCACATCCCGTGAACTGATGTTGGTTGATGCATTGTGTATGAGTGGACCCCTGCAGTTCAACTTGTGTTTCAAGGGTCAACTGTATTATTGAGCTAATAGAGCAATGATTTTCAGACTGCAACACCAGGGCAGCTCTTTAAATCAGATTCTGATCCAGTAGGCTGGGTAAGCCATGAATTCTGCAATTACAAAGCTCCTGGTGATGCTGACATTGATGCATGGATCTGGGATAGATAGTGCCAGAGGAATCTAATAAACAAGGCCTCATAACAGAGTTCAAATCCTTAAAGAATTAAAGTAGTATAATTAAAATTATGATATAATTTTGGCAAAGAAAACAATTCTTAGGCTTCTTACATCTCAAGTTATGACTACTAATAATTCTTCTGACCTAACAGATTTAGTGTCTGATTTCTTTTAATCAAAAAAGGTAACTAATAATTTTTCAGATAAATTTATTTTAAGCATTAATAATCCTAGTTCAATGATACTTATTAACTTTGTAAAATTTCTCAAATCATTTTAAAACAAATTAACTTGTCTTGTTTTTATTTTATCTACAATGTTACTGATAGTATATAAACTAGAGACTCAAATTCAACTAAACTGACTTTAAAATGTTATATAATAAGTTTCTTATGATTCCACTCAAGAGTCAAAGGTGGGGAAGGCAGGAGAAGAAGGGGGTAGGGGGTGGGAGAGATATTAATTCACCTTTCTTGGCACACATTGAGTGAAGTTTTACCATATATTTTCACATGGATTGTACCTGGTTCCACCATCCTTATTCTGAGGGTAATTATGCTTTGTAAGGAAAATAATATTAAAATACTGACATTAGTATTAATATCACTACTATACAAGATATTTAGACATATGCTACTGTCTTGGCAATTTCATAAAAATAAGCAGGAGCCCAGGAGATTGAGGTTGCTGTGAGCTAAACTGACGCCACGGCACTTACTCTAGCCTGAGCAACAAAGTGAGACTCTGTATAAAAAAAAAAAAAAAAATTTTTATTTTACATCTTCCAGATTAAAATATTTTGGATTATCTACCATTTGGATTAACCATAACCATCAATGGGGATAACTGAGGACTGATGGTAGTAAGTACATAAAGTGAATTCTATTTTAAAAACAACTGCCCTCATAACAACTAAAAATGACAGCTTCTGCAATCTCTATTCTAAATAAGGCATGATGTTTTCAAATGGCCTCTTTTAACCATAAAAGAAAGAAAGGAAAAAGAAATGTTTACCTTTGATAAAGCATTCTGAAAGAATTATCCTTACTGAAAGTTTGGCTATCTGAATGCATAGCAATCCTTTCCGGTATCCATCCAGTCAGTGCATGAAGATCAATATTCTGCAGCATAAACACGTCATACTGTCAACATCATATTTAAGATCTTAAATAAATCCCCAGGGCAGCTATTAAATCTCACTGATTTGGTACAATGATTTAGGTAGGAATAAATCAGAAGGTAGTTGTTTTCAGTCAGTAATAAATTTCTTCTTTAACTCGAATTCTTAACTGGATTTAAACACACATGTTTTTTCTTTATGACCTTTGCTACTTTTTCCAAATACAAGAGAATTGCTTTACTGGTGAATATGATAAGAACTCAAAACGTGTAACAGAAAAAACTGCTTTGATAATGACAGTCACTCACCATTTAGTGAGTTCTTACAATATAATAGTCACTTCTAATATTTCACATACATTCCCATTCTTTCTAAGCTATACTGGGTAAATTAACATGCAAGTGATTACAAAGCTAAACTAAAAGTATTTGAAGGATACAGCAACTCAAAGTGCAGGCTGGCAAGAAAGAAACTGTAACAGGATAGTTACATTTAACAGAGTTAAATACATCCTATTGCATTTAACCATGACCTACACATTCTTTGCCTAGCATTAAAAAGAACCTGAAGCCTGAAGGAGGCCTGGTATTAAGCAGGGAAACTAACCAGTTAAGAATGATGGGTAATTTGCATACATTACTTCATCTTTACAACTCTGAGAGGTTAATATTATCCATATTCTACAGACATGCAAAGAGGCCAAAACAGGTTAAATACCTTTTTTAACAGGCTGGTTAGTGTCAAAATTTAGTCATGCCAATCTGACAAATATCTGGCTTAAGTCTACTAGTTTACCTCATGTAATTAAAGGACACTGACACACATCTCCATTTTACAGGTTAAATTGTGTTAAAGTTAAACCTGAATTTACAAATTAAAATATACCTAAGGATGAAAATATGACATATCCATTTGATCTGAATAGGCGGCTCTGGAAAGGTATACTGTTATTTAATTGGTTCTGTAACCCAAAATAACTGTAGACAGACATTTTAGGCTTTCCTGGATATGGAATTATACAGTGTACTATCCTTATACAAGAAAATATGTATTCCCATAATAAGGGATCAACATTTTTCAGGAGTTGATAACCTGTTTTTTTCTAAAAGTAAAAACAACATAAAGAATTTTTCAGGCCAGGCACGGTGGCTCATGCCTGTAATCCTAGCACTCTGGGAGGCCGAGGCAGGCGGATTGCTCAAAGTCAGGAGTTCGAAACCAGCCTGAGTAAGAGCGAGACCCTGTCTCTACTAAAAATAGAAAGAAATTAATTGGCCAACTAAAAATATATATAGAAAAAATTATCTGGGCATGGTGGCGTATGCCTGTTGTCCCAGCTACTTGGAAGGCTGAGGCAGAAGGATT